GAAATGAGCTAACAAGACAGTGAAAAAATTTACCCACTCAAATATTTCTATTATTTGTAGAATTATTGGTACTAGATTCCCAATCCTTCCATAGACCATTTCATACATTTTATGCACTACATAATTAATATATGTCCCTTCTAAATAACCTCATTTGTTAACTGGTCTTATTTTTACTTATTCCACCTAGCATTCTGAAAAAATAAACTTAACACAAAACACTACATTCAATACTTCTTATAGGGTCTCATATTTTAAATGTTTGCTGTTGCTCTTCCTCTCATCTGCATAACTTCTATTTCATAGGAGAGGACTTCTATTAATGGAATTTTCATAATCACATCAAGTTATACGTTCTCTGAAGCCATATAAGAATGGTTCTACATCCAGGAAAGTCAAATAAAGTCCCTAAACAGAGCATGCCTTGTACTTATTATCAGCCTGATGAAAAACTACTTCAGTGACTTTTGTCTTGGATTTAATGTAGCAGATCTAGCGGGTGAGGGCATAGCTCCACTGTTGGGCATCTGTCTAGCATGAATGAGACCCTGTTTAGAACCTCAGCACCTAAAGAAGTGCTAGATCTAGGTTAGCCTGTATATCACATCTTTGGGGAACATTACAGCATTCCCTTTTCTCTGTTAATTGAAGCTGCCCACTACTAAGCACAGGCAAAACATTCCCAATAAGACACATTCTAAACTGAAACAAAAGAGATACTTATATAACTGTGAAATGATACAGTAATTACATTCTCCATTATTTTTCTAAAACCATCATGTTCTGAGTCTGCCTCTAAAAAGCACATGAAAAAGAAGTGAGAAGAAGTAACAGATACACGGAGAAAAGATTTTTTAAAAATTCAAATATAGGGGCTGGGGATTTAGCTCAGCAGCAAAGGGCCTGCCTGGCAAGCGCAAGGTCGTGAGTTCGATTCCTGGTACTGGAAGAAAAACAAACAAACAAACAAATAAATAAATAAAAAATAAAAATTCAAATATAAAACTGGTTATAACCATGCCAAAGCATGTGCATTTGAGGAACACATCAAGGGTAGTTGGTGCAGTATTAACATATTCTAGGCAGTATGAACAAAGAGCTTGGTCTTAGCTTAATTTTCACATCTGTCAAAACTAGTAGGCTGCTTCCCAATTGTCATTCCTACTGTTGCCCCCCTCCATCCAGTTCCGCATTTATATTTATTGTCTTTTTGAGAAAGGGTCTCGGTATGCAGTTCAGGCTGGCCTTAAGCTCACCTTGTACCCCAGGCTGGTGTCGAACTCGCTAAGATCCTCCTGCCTCAGCCTCCTGTGTGCTGGCATTACAGGCACATGCCACCACACCCGGCTCAAGTTCAGTTTTTTAAGAGCCACACACTTGCCTCCTACTAAGACAAACAACTTTTGTGATAAATAGGCTTACCTGTCCTGGAAGTACGCCTACAGCTTAGTCCTGGTAGCTTTGGGGATCTAACTGGAAAGTGCTAGTAGTTTAGTGACTCCAATATCTCTTTTTAAAACTTAGTATGACCTTCCATCTCATCAAAGTTAACCTCTGTTCCAAACTTGGTATATAGTACAGTCCCTTAAAATTTGCATTGTAAACATTGATAGTCACGTGCTGCCAAATCTGAAAAAGTTTCTTAACTCTTTGTTGAGTTAAAAAGAAAAAAAAAAAAAACAGCAAAAAATAAACCAGCAGTCCAGGAAAATATACAGATGACATAAACATCCTAATTAATCCAAAATGTGGGTCTCCGGAAGGAACGATCCCTTTCCCTTTCAACTTCTTGGAGTGGGCTAAAGAAACTCTCTCCAACTTTTTACCCAACGGTTTCAATTAAGATCAGGAATCCCCCACTTTCAAGGCATCCACATCAAACTCTAAGGACTGAGTCAGAAGCCAGCGGGCGAGCGGGAAGAGGTCAGGGAGCACAACTCCTGATTTTCTCAAGCGCTTACCTCCAGAGTCCCTCCACCCCTGCAGCCCCCGCGTTCCGCTCGGGAGATGTTTCATTACATAATCCCGGCTCCGCAGAGTACCCCCGGCTCTACCCTCAAGAAGATCGCGGAACCCCAGGCCTCCGAGCTGTGTCCGCGTTCCCTCGTGGGTGCTGCCGGCCTTTCCCATTCACCTGACGCCGCAACCCCGACCTAGGCTCCCGCCGCGGTAGTCCTGGGGGCCTTGGGGGGCGGCAGTCTCGGGATCCCACAATTAAGCCGGTGCCACCCTCTCGCCTCTCTCTCGGCCAGCCCCGCACTGCACAGGGCGCGGGGAGCCCTCTCCCAGCCCCTCTCGGACCGCCGGCTGTTTTAAGCGCACTTAGGGTCCCCTCCGTTAGCCTGGCTTTCTGAGGGTCTCCTGTCCCGAACTCGCAGTCTCGGCCCTCTCAGGATCCCCACCCCGCAGCTCCCCGTCCTCGCCCTGCTGGGGACCCCTCCCCGGACTCCAGGGTCCCGGTCGCTTTGAGGTCCCACCGCTCACCGTCTCGGGGCGGTCCTGGTCCCTCTCGAGGTCCCTCCCCTCACCCCGTCCCAGCTCTCCTCGGGGAACCCTGTCCCTCAGCCCGCTGCCCTCGTTCCTCTTGGGGACCCCCCCCGTACCCCACGGTCTTGGTCCCTCGTGGGGTCCTCGCCCGTCGTCCCGCCGCCTTGGTTCCTCTCGGGGGCCCTCCCCTCACCCCGCTCTCCTAAGCCTTCTGGGGATTCTTGCCCCATCTCCTGCCCCGGCCCCTTCGCGGGGTCGCCTGTCGTCGGACCCACTGTCCTGGACCCGCTCGAGCCCCCTTTCCGCTGACGCGGTCTCAGCCCCTCTCGGGGTCCTCTCCCCTCACTCTGCTGCCTCGTCCTCTCAGGGGACCCCATCTCTCACCCCGCTGTCCGGCCCCTCTCGGGGTCCCCTCCGTCCCCCCGCCGTCCTGGTCCCTCTCGGGGTCTCCTCGCCACAGTCCACACTGTCAGCTCCGCGCCCGGAACTCCGCTCGCTCGGGTCCTCCGCGCCCTCACTCCGCCCGGGGTCCCCTCGCCGGGGCGCACGCTGTCACACCCCGCGGCCCCGGCTCTCACCTCACACCCGCTGTCACCGCCTCCCGGCCCGGCGCCGCCGCCAGCGCCGCCGCTTCCTCTCCCGCACTTGTTCCCGAGTCGCGCTCCTGCGGCGCGTCCCCTGACGGACCACCGGGTCGGGTCGCTGGTGCCTGGTCCGGCTGCGCGCAGCCTCCGCCCGCGGACTCCGCGTCGCGCTCCACTCTCCACGCAGGACCCCGCGTCCCGCGCCACACCGACCCTCCCGGGGCCGCCGCCGCTGCTGTCCGAGGTGCGGCTCCTGCCAGGGGTGGCCAATCGCACCCGACTGCGCCGAGCGTGCTCCGCCCCACCCTCCTAGTCTGCCCGCCCCCTACTCCTGGCCACGCCCCCATCTCTGCTCCGATAGGCTCTCTACCTACCTTGCCTGATGGCAGAGCACTGGGCCGAGGCCGGATATAGGTATTTGATTGGACGTCCTTGGGAAGCCGAGAGGTCGATGGTGCCTGAGGGTTGGCAGAATTGATGGTGGGCGGGCTGTGGAGGGCGGGGCTTCCTCCGATGCGGAAGACCTCGCAACTTTAGTAACTCTTGGGCCCGTCAGGGGTGTGGTCCGTCGTGTTTGTGTTGCTCTGGGGTCAAAGTTCAGGGCACTTCTCCCCGCGCCTTTACTTTTTTGGGAGACTCCCAGAGACCCTCAGGCAAGAGCTTTTGAGGGAGGATCCTGCTTTCTCGCTGGATGTTAGTAATCCTGAGCCTTCTAAGTAATTCTGCCGTAAATTAATAGAACATTTATTCGCCTATGCCTTGGAAATATTTCCTGGATCTCTGGTAGGGGAGTTGCCTTTGCTTGAATTGTTCAACAGACGTCAGTTTAATACTGTTGGGGGTGGAAATTACGCAGTAGGTGTATCCTCTGTATAACTACACGTTCAACATGGACGGGGCGTATTTTAACAGGTCCAAGGACAAAGCTTAAATGTTCAGTTTGTGGGTTTATGACAGCATAAACAAGAACTGCGCTAGGAGCACCCCTGTTAGCGTTGACAAGGTTCCGGGAAGTACACTGAACATAACCTTTTCTAGGCCAACAGGTTTCAATGAGTGAGTGTGAGCTAATGGCCAGAGGTCACTGGGCTCTGACCCAAGTGCAACCTGTGATAATCAGAGACCCGTCCTGACCCAAGCTGAAAGGTGGTTCCTGCTAGGGTTGAAATGCATCGCATTACTCAGAGCCATTTATTGCATTTTTGTGAACTGGCGATGTTATTAAATCAACAGTGCAAATTGAAAACTGCTTTGCTGTCCTGTAAGCCCTTAAGGAAGTTTATGGACTTTGAAGATGTAGCATTTTAGGAAGAAATTACTTCATTTCACGAACATCATTCCCTCTTTAAAAAACTCTCGCTGATGAAACTTGTGTTCTAAGTAGTATACATTTCTATTTAAAAATTGTATAAACAATCCATAAATCAAAAAAGTGTATCCCATTGCAATTACGATGCTCCAATGTTTTAAGTTTCGATGTCAGGGAATGTAGAAATGCCTGGAAGGTGCACAAAGTCGTTAAGACAGGGTGGCCAGGACTTGGGTTTAGGTTGATTTCTGAAGGAGATGTCTCAGCAGTGTGGCCGAATACTGTTTTGGGAAGAGATGCAGAGAAAGATTTCAGCTGGTGAAACTTAGTTTTGAGGGAGCTTGATTTTTACAAACCTGAAGAGGCTGTTCCAAACATAGTAAATAACTATAAAGATGAGAAAGACTAAAGCCATGAGAGAATTTTTTAAGAAGCAGTTTTCTCTGTTTATTAGCTAAGAGATTATCTCTCAGTTCTCTGGATAGAAAAGATGGAGTACATTTTCACAAGTGTGAAATTAATTTGTGTCCCTTTGCTGGGCATGCTGGCGCATGCCTGTAATCCCAGCACTGGGGCGGCTGAGGCAGGAGGATCTTTGCGATTTCGAGGTCATCCTGGGCTACAAAGTGAGCTCAAGGCCAGCCTGAACTGCATAGCGAGACTCTGTCTCAAAAAGACAAAAAGAAAAAAAAAATGTGTCTATTACATATAAAGAAAGCATGACTGTTAAGAGGTGTTCTTTTTTTTGGTTTTTTTTTTTTTTTTTTTTTTTGGTTTTTCTCCGGTACCAGGAACCGAACTCACGACCTTGCGCTTGCCAGGCAGGCGCTTTTGCCGCTGAGCTAAATCCCCAGCCCCAAGAGGTGTTCTTAACAATAAAAAATGAAACATAAGAGAAAACCCCCAATGTCTTGACACTACTTTGCAATGAAATACACTTTTTTGGGTTTATTCCATTAACAAACTTTGACTTCTAAAATGTTATTGATTCTTTTTCTGCTTTATGAATATTGCTACTGATAAACTCGAGTTGCTCAATGCAGTTGATTGCAAATAATTTAGATGTGATTCAACTGCACACAAATAGAAAATGACTTCATCTTTTGGATAAGAGACAGTTCTGAAATCCTAGTTTAAACATAGATAGCAGATGTACAGTGAATCCCGAGAGTCTTTTTGTTTAGAAGGAACTTCAGAAGATCGCTGAACTCCTGGTAAGACATTGTAACATTCCACTTTGCAAATTCTTGCATTTTTGTTGGGAGGAAATTACTCTTACAAAGAGAGCCAATAATTTAATTAAAACAAGGTAGCACATAAGAAATGTCAAAACAAGTTGGATGAGAATAAGGATTTTCATTTTTAGAAGACTCCTTGGGGGCCAATTTCAAGATAAACTTGATCACAAAAGGTCTGAGAATCAGAGAATGTTTGGTTTCACCTTTGCTTCCACATCTGTGTTGTGTTTTACTGCTTCTATGGGAACTCAAGTGCAACACAGGGTGGGATTATTTTGCACAAGCCACTAAACACCTCTGGGCTCTTTTCTTTAATCCTTTTTTTTTGGCTACACACAACTCAATAGCACTGTTCCCACAGAAAGTGACAGACATCCTAAGTTTGTAAAGTGAAGTTTACAACACTATGACCGGCTTGTATTTAGAGGGAATCACAAATTCATAGAGGTACTCAGCTTTCTAGTCTTCTGAGTTTTAGCCAAATTCATTTGCTTCATTTATTTCAAATGCTTCATTTGCTGAGTTGGTTAGCAAGCTTTTGGATTAGGCAAAATTTTTAAAAATTAATATTCAAAGAAATACGGAGCAGTTCCTCTGTGGAGGCCCTGGGTCTGGAAGTCTAAACCGTGTAGACTGTATGGTACTGGTTTGTTAAAAGGCAAATGACAGATCTCTTGTCATCTGTAAAATCCTGAGCACACCTTATCCAGTAAACCCACAGGATAGAAAAGATTCCCAAGGAGTGGGAAAATACGGTTTTGCTGACCTTAGGATGGTATATCAGTAGCCTAGTCTTTTAGTTCTCAACAAAGGTCCAATTAGGGGAGGAGCCAAGATTCCTTTTTTTCCTGCATCTTCACGCACACTCCGGCTGTCTGGGTTTCCTGACCTATTAGGCGGACGGTACAAGTCATTCTTCTGCTTAAATTAGGGATCGTCCCACCTGCCAAGGGCGCTGCCAATCCCTCCCCCATCGGCCCCGCCCCTCAGGTCGTAAATGATCCTTGGTTTAGTTTTGGCCCTGGGCGCCGCCTGGCGGCTATTTTCGGAACTGTCCTTTGAGGTTCGGGGTCCTGACCGCGGCTTGGGCTGTCCAAAGATTTGCCTAACTCCAGAGAGCCTACCTTTCCCCGCCAACCCGCTCCTTCCAACCCGCACTCACTGAGAGTATTCAGACGCTGATGAAGGGTGTAGGGATCTGGAGAAAGGAGGGCCTGGCGTTCTCTCCATTTCTCATGGATGGCAGGGTCAGGCCGTCGTCGGGCAGCTCGCGACCCGGAAGTCGCCCGCTTTGTGAGGCCCCCGTTGCCGGGCGCGGGCGCGGGGGGCGGAGCTCGGCGGGCCGGGAAAGGGGTCGCCGTGGCTCCCGCTCCCGGAGTTAGTGGGCTCCCTCGGGTGCTGTTAGGAGGACGTCACGTCCTCAGCGCCTGTAACCGCGGTTTCCCGGGAACAGAGTCGGCTGCGGTGGGAGGCGACATGAGTGCCGCGGGGCTGCTGGCTCCAGCTCCGGCCCCGGCTGGAGCGCCGCCGGCCCCGGAGTACTACCCGGAGGAGGACGAGGAGCTGGAGAGCGCCGAGGACGACGAGCGCAGCTGTCGGGGCCGCGAGTCCGACGAGGGTGAGCCCGCCGCAGGGCTCTCGGGGCTGCCCGGGCGGGAGTGGGACGCCTGGGGAGGAGGTGGAGCCGCGCTGGAGGGGGCGGGGCGACCTGCGGGCTTGGGGCTGGTCGGGGGGCAGCCTGGAGGAGCGGGGTCCCCCCCTGCGGGCGCCCGGCAGCGGGAGACGCGCAGGGGTGCGTGTCCCCGGCAACGTGGGGTCAGCGAGGGGCTAGCCGTTGTCAGCTGGAGGTCTCTAAGACTTCATCGCGTCCCCGGCCGTCTGTGGTTGAACCCTGGCGTCTTCATCAGCAGGGTGGGAAAGTCGTTGAGTGCATTGAGTAATACGCCCGTTTTGATTTTTTTTTTTCCCCCTCTTTTTACCGAGAGGATCAGAGTGAAGCTCAGTTTGGCTTTCTCGTCCCCAAGTCTCTCTGAAATGCGTACGTCAGCCCCACTTCGCGCGGTACAGTGCATGATTGAGAATAGAGCAGGTTGGGTGAAAGAAGCAGCTAGATCTTTGGCTCTGTCACCTAGCCTTGCAACGTTAGAGGACCTAGGCTTTCCAGCCTTGGATTACTTAGCCGTAGTAGAGCTCTTAGCAGCGCCCACTCCCTGGGGTGGGTTGAGGATGGAATGAGATGTTCATCCAGTATTTGGCCGGGTACTCGGCGTTGTCATCGCCGGGGAAACAGGCACGGAGGAAGTAGGGATTTGACTCATGGTGCCCAGCTGTTGTGTTTTCGCTCCCGTGCTCTTTACATTGTCCGTATTGCTGCTCAGATTCTTCCTTTTGGAACTCAGAGCCTTGCTTTTTAGCCTTTGGTCAGTGTGAGGAACATGGTTTTGGAAGGATTGAGGAAGGAGCTGGCTCGGGGAAGAGGAAGGTAAAATACAAAAGGGCAAAGGGGAAGAAAGGATATAGAGACCATTATATGGAGGGAGTAATTTAGCACAGAGCAGGACCATAAAACCGGAGGTAGATCAGCTGGCCGGGGTGATTAGTGTTTTATTTATCTCAGCCTCCCAGGTTCTAAGCTCACTAGCACATGGCAGGACCTCCGTGAAGTTCTTTTCCATTGCGTGGGGGGGAGGATTATTTGTGGAGATTTGGATCTGCAGCAGCTTTTCAGAAGGCAGCTGCGTATATGGGACAGAAAGTTGAAACTAACTGCACTTGGCTTAACTACATTTGAAGACGGGGCACTTGCATTGCCTTTACTGGCCACGAGGAGGAGTGTTGAAATCAAAATTGAATTTTCTGCCTGCAAGTGCTGCACGCTGGAAGGACGGTTGAAATCAGTACTTCAGCCATTTGCTGCCTGTAGGAACAATGTTTCAAATGTTTGGAAACAGTTTTTGTTCCGTCATCTTGCCTCTCTCTCGCTTTTAGTTGTAACTTTGGAACTATCTCAGCTGTTAGCATTCGATCTGCTGTGGGGGAAGCTGCTTTTTTATTGTATGTATGGGAAGCGGTGTGTATCAGGCTTGACTGCCTGCTGTGTCCAGTGCTAGTGCCCGCAGCTTGTGTCCTCAATGGCTGGTGTGACTGTTGCGTGATTAGCAGCCTTGACCGGCGCTCACGTATGTATTTCCAACTCTGTATGGGTTGAAAATGACACTTTGTGTTCTGCTTTAACTGTATTTAATGTTTTTTTTTTTTTTGGTTTTTCTCCGGTACCGGAACCGAACTCACGACCTTGCGCTTGCCAGGCAGGCGCTTTTGCCCTGAGCTAAATCCCCAGCCCCTGTATTTAATGTTTTTCACTGGTAGTTTCATGTAGGTCTGTGTTGAATAGAAACCGACTTTACAGGAGTTTATTAAGTACTTACCCTGCGTGAAGGGATACCAAGTCTAGGAAATACGATTTTAATTCCCCCTTCTTCCCTAATTTTACCCAGACACTGAGGATGCTAGTGAAACTGACCTGGCAAAGCATGATGAAGATTATGTAGAAATGAAGGAACAGTGAGTATGGTTTTTGTATTTATTTTCTGTTACGTAGAATTGACAAGAAAACCTTTGCAGTGACTGTGTGTCTAATGACTATGTTTTGATCATAATGCCTCCAGTGCCTTTGTGTGCAAACCTCACCCCCTACCAGCTTTATTGGTGGTATTGGGGAATTGAGCCCAGGGAGCACTGTGCTACAGCCCGGGCCCTTTTTGGTTCTGGTTTTGGTTTTGTTTCTGAGGCAGGGTCTTGCTAAATTGTACAGGCTGCCCCCCTCAATCCTGGCCAGCCCCCTCCTTACCCGCCTTTAAGTGCGTCTCATTTAATCAGTCTTCGAGACTGCAGTATAGCCTAGGAAGAGCCTTGGTGGAAATGATCACTGCGGAAGTAGGACCATGTAACAGGAGAGAACCTTTTACCAGGTTTGTACTTTACAAAGTGAAAACCAGCGCAAGAGAGGATAAATGGTGCCTTGAAGCAGTTGAGTTCTCAGATAGGTGTGAATGCATTGAGGCCTTCTGCCTGCCTACACAGTGTGCCAGATGCTCAGAGAGCTCCAGGGTTGGGGAGCAGGCGGTCCACACTCACAGGTCTTCAGATAGCTGTGACCAGCCAGAGAAGCAAGACCCCATTCTTCTCCTTCCCTCCCCTTTTCCCTCCCTTTCCCTCTTTATCTCAGCCCTCTTCTGTTTTTTTTTTTTTGAACTGAGATCTTTCTATGCTGCTCAGGCTGACCTTGAACTCTAGCTATCTTCCTACCTCCACCTCCCAAGCACTGTATTTGGGACTGCCAGTACATGCCGCTGCCCCCGTGCATTGTAATCACACACCCAGATAGAAGACAGCAGAAGATGTGTTTAGTAAGTGTTTATCGAGTGCATTTTGAGGATCCTGACTTGACCTCTTAAATTCCTTTACACTACATGATCCACATTCTCTCCCTTCTAGGTCCTATTTACAAGTGTTTATGGCCATCCTGTGGATTCTGTTACCCTTTCCAAGCACTGGAACCCAAAGGGGGTAATTCAGTTAAGACTGCCCAGTAGTGAATGAGGGCTACTCACAGTAATTCATGTGATCTTTCTCACAGCTTCATCCCTGAAACTGCTTCATTTTTACCTTTGCAAGCGTCTTATTGACTCACCTTGACCCACCTAAGATATATTCTCACGCATGTGTTCTTTTCCCTGTGTCTGACCTCAGTGAGTCTGAGAAGTTTGTTTTCTTTCTCCCTTCAGTTTGTCATTGCTCCCTTGTAAGGACGCACTCAGCCACAGGAATTGGCTGGCACCCTCATTGTGGGAAAGTTAAAGTCCTGGGTTCCAGATATTGACTTTCGCGTTGTTCGTGCATCTGCACTCTCTCCTGTTCTTGATGTATTTAAGCAGCATTTTTAGAGATCGTGTTTTGATTGAGTGTACTCCCCGAATGAGAAAGTAATTTTGATTTTGTTGAGTGACTTATGTAATTCAAGATGAGCATGGGGAAGTCGCTCAGGATTTACCCTAAAGAAGCAGCCCTGCTGTTGGGTTCTCGGATCCCCAGCTGCAGAGTGCCCAGTTTGTATGTCAGCCATATCTGAGCAATGAGAATACTCTTGTGCCTAGCACACATTGGACAGTGTGCTAGGTTGCAAATCCTGCTTGCTTTTTGGTCCTGAGGGCCGAGCCTGAGTGTTCACACTGAGTTGCATCTCCAGCCCATTTTTTGTTTTGAGGCAAGGTCTGGCTGAGTTGTCTAATCTGGGCTCGAACTTGTGCTCCTCCTGCCTCAGTTTCCCAGAGTGCTGAGATCACAGGCTGTTTTGTCACTGAGAAATTGTAGATGTTTTACAGGTGTGATCTACTTATAGAATCCATCATTTAAATGGTCTTGTCATTGTGAAATTGCTGCTAATTTGTATGTCCATCAGCAGAAGAATGGGTAAACAAAATGTGGTATTTATATTCAATGGAGTACTAGTCTGTCATAAAGAGGGATAAATTTGAGTCATCTGTAGGAAGATGGATGCACCTTGAGGCCATAATGTTAAGGGAAATAAGTCGGACACACAAGCTTAAGTACTGCATTAACATCTCATGTGAGAAACCCAAGGTATCAATAATTTAAAAAAAAGGAAATGGAGGGATCTTTTGCAGATGGAAAGGGGATCTAAAGGCAAGAAGTGGGGAGTGAGGAGAGGGGAAGGGGGATAAAATTAAGATGTGATATAGAAGTACTTGTATTTGCTTCACATGGTGCATGTAAACATGTGCTACAAACATGTACTAATAAAAAAATAATGTGCTGTGTTCTTTTACGAGGTATGTTCTATGTGTTTTTATATAGCTGGGGCTTCAAATGAATGTTCCATTTTAATTTTTTTTTTTTTGCATTTCTTTTTTTTTTTTTTTTTTTTTTTGGTCTTTTTGAGACAGGGTCTCACTATGCAGTTCAGGCTGGTCTTGAGCTCACTTTGTAGTCCAGGCTGGCCTTGAACTCAAAAAGATCCTCCTGCTTCAGCCTCCTGAGTGCTGGGATTACAGATGTGTGCCACCATGCCTGGCTCATTTTAATTTTTGTTTCTGAATTACTACTGTTTTTCTGATCCTTAAAGAGTAATCCCTTAAAAGTGAGCCAAAGGTTTATTGACTTAATGCTTATTCATCTGTGCTCTCTGTATGGAAGTACATGCCGAGGGCATATTCTTACTCCTTTGGAATTTATAGCCTAATTGAGTTGCAATAAGAGCTGTGATCAGTATGTTACTTATACTTTTAAATCCAGAAGAAAATGGCATTATGCTTTGAATTTTTCTTTGTATGTTCTTGCTTAACCCTGTTTATCCTTGGTATTTCTTAGAGTTTGTTGTCTTCATATTTGTACATCGTAGACTGATTCTCCAAAGGTGGGGTAACACAGAAGAATCTAGGAAATTAGACTATAACTCAAGAATGTGCAACCCTGGTCCTTTTCTGTTTTTTTGAGATGGGATTTCACTACACTTGTCTCAAACTGGCAGGCTCAAGTAGTTTTTCTGCTTCCGCCTCTCAAGTAGCTAGGACTTACAGATGTGCACCACTACACCTGGTTCCTTGTCCCTTTCTGACCTTACTCAGTACATTGTAAATCTCTCTTCCCTGAAGAACACTGATGACCTTCCCATAGCAGACCAAGTAATTCCTGTGTATAGGGTGTTTTAGAGTTAAGGACTGGTGCTTTCATCTTTCATTGTGGCTTTTCTTTTATAGGATGTATCAGGACAAACTGGCTTCTCTCAAGAGGCAGCTGCAACAACTGCAGGAAGGTTGGTGTGTGATTGACTCCTTCATTTCTGAGTATTTCTTAATGTTAAAATCTATGGAGCTATGTATTTTACTTCTTTGTGGGAACAATTGAATATTTAGTGTAGCTTATTTTATCCAGTACATATTTTACTGTCTTTGAGCAATAAGGTGATAATTTTCAAACTCTTTATTTTTTTAAATTTTCAATATGTAGCAAGTTCATTAAGATAAATCATGTTTGAGGCCTTCCAAGCTAGGTATTTTTAGGAGGGATGTTATTACCAAAAAAGAAAATGTTACTTTTTTTGTGTGTGTGTCTCTGTGTTGTGTGTGTGTGTTACTGAGAATTGAAATGAGGGTCTCGTGCTGAGCTGCCTCTCCAGCCTGTTGTTTTAATTTGGGGGTGGCGCAGGAATTGAACTCAGGGCCTCATACTTGCCAGGCAGGCACTGCACTGCTAAACTACATTCTCAGCCCCTTAATTTCTTTTGATACAGGGTCTTGCTAAGTCCCAAAGTTGCCCAGGCTGGCCTTGAATTTGGGATCCTCCTGCCTCAGCTTCCTAGAATGAGATAGTGCACTACCACATCCGGCTTATTTTTCTTTCTAAAACAAATGCTAATGGACTGTGTATTATCCAGTGTTTTCTATTTTGTGTTTGGCAGATTGTAAGTGGGTAGTTTTTATGAAGAAGTGCTGTTGGTCCCTAAAGGCAGTGCAGCATGCAGTTTTCAGAGTCCAGGCCCTCAAGTTCCATGACAGCAGGGGAACTTGTTTTCACTTTCTTGTGTGTGACTTGAGCTATCAGTTTCTCTTGCCGAATTCGTTTTTTAATCTGCAAAATGGAAGAAAACAGACCATCTAGTACAGTGTTGGGCACAGCGTGAGAACCCAGGGAGGGTTAGCTGCTGCTGTTAGTCTGTAGTTCCATATTATGAAGCCCCTTGTCAGTGAAGCTGCTTTCCTGCTAGGTACTTTGTAATTGCTAGTGGGAGGTTCACTCTTGGGCTGGCCCGTGAAGTACTCGCACACAAGCTGGAAGCCTTCGGGGAAGAACTGTGAAGGGAGATTGCAGAGTCTGTGCCAGAGCTCTCTGCTACATGTGGCTGTTTGTGTTTAAATAAATAAAATCAGTGGCTGAGTTCTTGAGTTGTAGTACCTATGTTTAAGTACTAAAGCCCTACCTATGGCTAGTGGCCACCACTTTGGGTAGTGCAAATGGAGAAGATTTCCACCACCGCAGAAAGTTGGGCTGGACAGCTATGACCTAGACCTTGCTGCAGGAGGATGACCTTTGTCCAGGAAAGGGAGGCCCGGTAGTAGCAGGCATTTGGAATCACTTGGGGGTGTCTGCACCTTTTCAGTCCCTGCATGCATGGAGAGTTTCGATGTGCTGAGGTAGGGTGGACTCCACATGGGCCTCAGGTGGGACCTGCTGTGTGCTCTGGCTGAGAACCTGAAGCCAGTTAAAGGCTCACATGTGACCTTCCTGAGTTTACGTTACTCTGGTGAGAATAGCCACTATCATTTGAAAGTAACTTTAGGAATAAAATGTAGAGCACATTGATCTTCAAAATAACTTTCTATTTTGTAAATGCTCAAAATCAGGTACATTACAGGAATATCAGAAGAGAATGAAAAAGCTGGATCAGCAGTATAAAGAGAGGATCCGAAACGCAGGTGAGGCTCTTTGATGTGGAAATGAACCATCTTCTACTGTTCCGCCCTGTTGCCCATACGGTGTGCCTGTAAGAGCCATTTCCCAAAGTATGTCGCGGATACTTTGATGAGGGGAGGGTTTCGGGGAAGAAAGATTCCAAAAGCGCATAAAATTGGTTCATCTTTGTCCCTGCAGCCAGTGGCGCTGGTGTTGGCTGCTTGTCCTCGAGTTGTTCTTCCTGGCGCCCCAAGAGTTGTCTGTTACTGCTCACATCTGCACGGCCGGCCTAGTGGCCAGTCAGAGGTGCTGACATGGAAAAGGATTGTAGATTGTTTCACACTCGATTTAAGTTTATTTCTTCTGGAATGCTATGCTCTAGGGAGGGGGTGTCCTCTCTGTTTCCCTCAAGTGTTGTATAAGAAGCTTTGAGAGAAGTAAAGGAGCATGTTTTTATCCTGTTGTACCTGGTAAATGTTTTTGTTCGGCATATTTGTTGGACATCTGTTACGTGTGAGCACTGTGAGCAGTACCAAGTCAAACACTTTGTTCTTGACTTTAGAAAACGTGTGTTTCATGGACAGCAGATTCCCATGTGTCTAAAGTTAAGGAACATTGTGAGGTAAAGGAAGAATCGTGCAGAAAGGGAGATGTGGCAACTAGGTAAAGTTTGTAAACACAGATGCCTGAGCTTACAGGAAGCTCTGTTAAATTGGAAAGCTCGCTGTCCACCAGCATTTTGCGTACCAGCAGGGTGCCTTTGCTTTCTGTTGTCCTGGTAGGAATCATGTTGGATTTTAAAGTAAGATCTAGATGCCACTCCCCGTGTTGCTTTCCTCGTGACTTCTGGTGCAGCAGCTCTAGCTGCCTGTCCTGGGAAGCTTTCATCCTTCCACTGAGGGGGTCCTGTGGGGGACAGCGGCGCTGCAGCCATGAGCCTTCTGCCTGTCCACACCTGCCTGTCCCTGGTGCTACCCTACTCCACTCTGAGCTCCAGGGTACCGCCCTGGGCCATCATTAAAATCGTCACCCGTCTCCCTGGAGTTCCCCTCCGTATGATCAGGAAGGTGGCCTTGTGGAATGACATGGCCTAAGGTTCAGGTTCCACCTCTATCACTTTGGGTCTGTCCCTTTAATCAGGGTATTTATTTGGGGAGCCTCAGTCTCCCCATCTGCAGAGGGGAGTACGAATCAGCTTAAGAAATCAGCTTAAGGTGTAAGTAAGGAAAGAGAATTGATGTGAGTCATCTTCTCTTACACTAGAGCAGCAGGATGCGTTGAGTTGTGTTTCTTAATTCTCCTCACAGACACTTGGTCCTGTCCTTCGTGTTGTTTCATAAACGTATCTCCCTCCAGGTGAAAATGAGGAAGAGCTCCTAAATCAGTCATGACTTGAGCGTTAGAAAACCCATTCTGTGCAGAGATAATCCACCTGCTTTGGTTGTGTCTGGTGTGTGCTTGCTTTAACTGAAACAGCAGCTGCCAGCTCTAAGTGCCAATTGTCATTTTGCCTTGTTGGTGCAGGTGTGATTTCTCAGTCTGCGACTTCAGGTGTCTGGCTTGTTCTCGGACGGTACAGTTGGGAGCAGGCACAGGAGTGAGCATATTGGGCTGGGTGTACTTGGCCTCCTATGCTGCATGATTCCCAGGACCAAAAAAGATTCCCAGGCGAGAAATGATGAGTGCCTTGTCCCTTTCTTCAGTTAATTTTTCTCATCCAACAACTTGTTCACTGACATCTGGGCTATTAATCTGGGATTCTTAGAACTCCAGAGAGTCTACAGAGCATTTGTGAAATGTGCTCATTCTGGGGAATGAGTCTGCAGGGTTTATCAGGTTTGCGAAGAAGGCCACAGTACACGGTAGTGGGTACCCACCGTTATTGGCTCGCTGGTATTTGTGTACCGTATGCAGCAGGCCCTGTGTCACTCAGAAAAGATTAGAAGCCACAGACCTATTTGGTGTGATGGACTGGATGCGCAGAGGGGCTTACAGTGTAGCAGAAGTGGGCTTCTGGGAAAATGGTCCCTCACTGGGTAGGGGTTAAGTGCTTCTGGGAGAGTAGTTAGGATATCAGAGAGGAGCTTGTTGAGGGAGGCGCTGTCCACAAAGACCTCAAGCTGGGGGCAGCCTGAGACCAGGAGCCTGGAGTGTGTGGCTGGCAGAGCTTCATTTTGAGCAGAGCTTGGTGCCTGTGAGTAAACTGCAAGGAAGCCCTGGAACCTCTGTCCTAGATTCCGTGGGAGCATCCATCCTTATCACATGGGCTCCTCCTCACGGTACTTTCAAAACATGGAGGCGAACTCACTTCAGAAGCTGCTGTGTGCTTCCTGACCTGTCCTGCAGTCTTTGCAACTGTTGGAGAGTGAGGACTAAGTAAAAGGAGGGTTGACTTATTTTGCTGAAGCAGTTTGGTTTTACTGCTTGTCGCCACCCCCCAGAACTCCCAGTGCTGATTCTGTTCAGGGGCAGATTTTAACTAGACGCAAGTGCTTCTTGCATCTTTACCTTTCATGTATATCAGCACTTTACTGATGAAAAGATTTGCTCTGTGTAATGTGCCTTCAGAAAGCAATTACAGTTTCTAAATGAATGCTAACATCCCTGTCTGGAAAGGTGACACGCCTAGCGAATCTAATTGTACTTTTTATCTCTTTCAGAACTCTTCCTCCAGCTGGAAGTAAGTACCACAGACCTTCTGGGTTTGCAGGCTCTTTCTGAGACTGGGATCTTGCTTTCTGGATCTGGCCGCCTTTCCTTCTGTGACACAGCAGTTTGGAAGCTTTTCTTACCATTCTGTTTGACTGCAGGACACTTGGTCTCCCTTCAGATGGTCCATCTAGTCCAATGATGGTGAACCTTTCAGAGCTTTCACTGGTACAGACAACCCACTGTGGCACGCATGCCACAGGCTTGCCACCACTGACCTGTTCATTTCTTGTTGAGCAGCTTGTGTTTATCTCAGGGGGTTAGGGGATGCTCACCCCTCCCTGCTTTCCTTTGACCTATATCTCATATTAAAGCCATTCAGAAGTATCTCTGAATGGTAGTAGCCTAATAAGTTGATAGTGGTCCTCGGAGCAGTCCAATTTCTGAATTGGCTTGACAGATCCATTTTATATCTGAAACTCTCTGGACCAGTGGAAAGACAGGTTTTGAATGTTTTTTTCATTCCATGGACATCTCCGTGCTGCTTCTGTGTCAGGCCCAGTTCTGCGGTGCAGCGATCAGGGCCAGGGTCTTGAATGTGGTACTGCTCCTGATGTGATGTGTGTTTGTGTGGGGGGGTACTTTTTAAGAAGGTCGTGGTTTATTAGAGCCATATTACTGGAAACCATTTAAGTACTGAAGTCAATTCAGTGCACGGAGTGTCAGCCTGAAGGATCACATGATCCACAGCTACAGCTCACTTCAAGCCTCCTTGTTCATAACTTAGTACACTGGCGAGATTTAAAATAATTTTTAATTTCGGTTCAGTGTCAGTGTTGAATCCTCCAGGGTTCAGGTACCTAGTGAATGATCTATTGTAGTTGTTTTTCATCTTACTATAAGTATCAAAGTAACCCATGTTGTGTGGCCTCAGTGTCATGTAATTAATTTTGAATGTAGATACTTTATCTGGAATGTGCTATTTTTCTCTTGAAATTGTGTCTTAAAAGGGACTATTTACTGTCTTTGAGAGATTTGTGTTCCATTAAAGCCGTAAGCTTGAAGACACTGGGGAGAGGAGGTACCTGAGTGGCAAATGTGGCGCATTTATTGGGAAGCCTCTTCCTAGACACGTGCTTACCGCAAGTGTGAGCAAAGCTGTTTTCCTGTTTCTAGTAAACAGGTGTTTTCTTTGCTTTTAAGGACAGAGCTGGACTTTTGAGTTGCAGTTCTGGCTGCCTGGGCCGTACACCCCAGCCTATGTTTCTCTTTCCTCAGACTGAACAAGTGGAAAGAAATTACATTAAAGAAAAGAAGGCAGCAGTGAAAGAATTTGAAGATAAGAAGGTTGAACTGAAAGAGAACCTGATTGCTGAGCTAGAAGAGAAGAAGAAAATGATTGAAAATGAAAAGCTAACCATGGAACTGACGGGAGGTATGAAGGCCCTGTAGGGCAGGGGCCTGGGCGTCCAGAGGGGTCCTGACGTGCTGCTCCTGTCCCTGCTGCTGTCTCCCAGCTCTGGAGCAGAGTATGGTGATACAGAGTGGCTTTGGCATCACAGATCAGAGTTAACCAAGCTGTTTCAACTTCCCTGAGTGTTTTCTTCACTGTAAGGTGGGGCTGATCATACCGTATTCTATAGAGTTGTGGTTAGAAATAGAAATGCCTGCAACTCTAACCTATATGTAACAGGTATTCAGTAAATGTAGCAATTATGAGCTTGGGCTTATGCTTTATGTAATTCTGGGTCTGCTGCCATTTGTGGCTTGGTCATATTCCTGAATTGCTCACATCCATCTGTGGGAATCTCTCTACTTTGTTTCTTTCAGTCTGCCTTCAATACAGAGAACGCATTATTGTTTTTTGACTTGGCTGTGGGAACAGTGGCTTTCGGCTATATCATCTGTGCTGTTAGATCTCTTCCCTCAGGTGTTACTGTGAACATTTCGGAGAGGGCTGATGTGATTCCAACAGGATAGCTAACCTTAACTGTTCTCCTGTGAAGGTAGTGAAGTTACATGAGACTCAGAGCTCATTCCTCCCTAGCCTTCTAGAGTTTAGTACTGCGCATATGGGAGCTCAGCAGGTTCTAGGCAAGTTTCGGGGAAAAGCATTATGGGCCGACTCGTTTGCTGCCATGTGTAGACTCATGAATCCTAGAAAGATACAGGGAATTTTAGAACCTGCCAAATACTGCAGAGCAAGTCAGTGGTGAGTTTGTTACTTGGATATGTAGGTGGCATGCCTTCTGCACAATTTCCAAAATTTAAAAGATACTATGGCTCTGCCATGTCTGATTTTAAGAGAGTTCCATAGGAAGTGTAGTGTTTTTATGGAAGATCTTGGAGGTAGTTTTGAAACTAAAAGTAACCAGTTAAAACCTGCATGTTAGCGGGGCATGGTGGTGCATACCTGGAATCCTAGTACTCAAGAGGCTGAGGCAGGAGGATTGCCATGAGTTTAAGGCCAACCTGGGCTACATAATGAGCTCAAGGCCAGCTTGAACTGTATAGCCTGTCTCAAAAACAAAAAGCAAAAAGCCAAGATCTGCGTGCTCTGCCCCCACATAACTATACACTGTGCTGTGAACCAGCTTGGCTCTCTAGTTGACAAGACTTCTCGCTCCAGGCCAGTGATACCCGGATGAGAATGTAATTGTGTCTGGCTAGGCGTGTCGGAGAGGAGGAGTCTGACTCCTAAAAAGAAATCTCTGATACTTCCTTACTGAAAGACTTGGCAAAAGAGAGTGAGTTCCTGGAAAGCAGCTTGGAAATGTTTTTGTTGCTTTGTGTTGGGGAGAATGAATGCTGAGATGGCATCTCCGGACAGCACGGTCTCGTTCTTGTTGAAATGCTGTCAGGCTGCTAACACTGGTGTCTCGTCGGGTGCCAGTCTGCCTGCCTGTTTTCTGACCCACACACCACTTTCTTTGATGGCTGTGACTGGCATGATGCCTCATCGCTCTCTGCTTGCGCCACCAGATGTTTGGGAGCCTTCATTAGGCTAGTGGGAAATATTGTCAGCTTATAGCTGCTGCCTTCCCATCTGCAGGGAAGGAGATGATCACCTTACCTGTGATTTGGCATCCTAATTATTGACAAGCAATGGACATTATTTGGTCAGTAGATTTTATAGCCGGAATCCTCAGTGGGACAGGCGGCATCCTTATAGTGGCTTGAGACAGCCTGCCAGGGTGGAAAAGACAAATAAGTGCAGTCAAATCATTTGTAATGCCAAAAAAAAAGAAAAAAAAATTAGATTGTAGAAGTGTTAAAGTTAGCCATGCGCATTAAAGGTACCGATGTCCTTCCTCAAGCCATTTGGTACCCTTGGTATGGAAAGCACTGCCAAGGTGACGATGGAGTGTAGGAAGAAAAGGCACTGGAGCTAGAAGGATAATTAGCATTTCCACAGATGGTGCTGCCATGGTGTTGGATTAAAGGCCTGATTTCACTCCTCTAATTGAGTGACTGACTTCACCTTTGTGGATTGATGCCCAGTATTGATGTTGCCCAGCTCTGCCCAGAAAAGCTATTCCATAAAATGTCCTTTTCTGATTCAACATGGAGACCTCTTTAAAGTCAAAGTAGAGAAAGAGGCTGATGAGCAGCTTAGTTCAGAAGACCCTTTAGAAATAAGTGTCTCAGTGACCTGCTTTTTCCGAGCATAGTGTGCGTGTGCGCCTCTGCGGGAGTTAGCGGGAGTACTTTTCAGCGCCCACATCTCTCGGGAGAACTTGGGGAAATGGCTCCTCGGGCAGCAAGGTATGCAGTGGGTGAAGAGGCCAAGATGAGCGTGAGGTCAGAGCTTCTTCGGCCTTAACTTTTATGTGGGTACATGTTAAGTAGGGGTCTGGGTGAAAGGCAGGCTGTTTCAGAGGCTTGTGGGTGAAGGCATTTCTAACCTTCTCCCGGTGGCTGCTGGTCACGTCACTCTTTGTGTAGTGAGGCTGTAGATAGAATTACCTGAGTGTAATTCAGTGTAATTTCTTTGATGCTGTAGCCAGAATTATAAATAACCTAAATAATCAGTGAGAACCCAGTGAACTTTCACATGTAGGGAGCTTTATCATTAATTCATTTTTCTTGTTGGTAGAGCTTTCTCCTCTATGCCAGCAGCTCACCAACTGCCACTCCATTTTCTTTCGCCTTACCAAGGGCCCCTGTGGAAGCTACTCCTGACCTCAGTAAAGCCTGTGAGTTTCCTTTAGAAAATACTACATTCAGAGTTGGCATCATGAGTCGTTATAACGTCAAAATAGAAGTCTGTTTCCTGAGCACTTACCATCAAGCTAGGTGTTGTACAAAAGTGTTAGCGCTCCTTCCTCGGGCTACAGACTGGAGGAGAACCTTGGCTCAGTCGTAAGCCGCTTGGGGTGGGATTTCCTTGTTCAGCAAGGGGATGATGGAACCTACTACTAGGGGCTGATTGGAGAGGGGATGGTGTAATGCCTGTCCTGTGCCTTGGAAAAGGGCACCCGAGGAAGCACTCCGGACTTGGGAAGTGTCACCCTGTTAGTTCTGCAGCTCCCCTTGATTTCAGGTGTTGCTACTCCGAGTTTACAGGTGGCAAAGCAGATTCAGAGAAGTGGAACCCTTTGCCTTGGGTACCCCAGTGAGCTAGATAGTGCTTACACCAGAATTTGTCTGATACTAGGCATGCTCTCTTAACCACATTGTAGCAAGGGGGCATATGGCAGCGTCATAGAATTAGGCTGATGGGTAAGGTCTGTGTTTTCAGAGGGTTTGTGTTTTGATATTTACAACATGGACACGGCTTCCGTGCCTTCCCAAGTGTACGACGGTGTGGAGACAGAGGTTCCCAAGTGAGGTATAGATTTGACAGTCCTGTGGTAGGGGCTTTAGAGCCGTGAGGTGCCTGGCGGTTGTAGTGGACAGGAGCAGTGTGTCCCGCACAGCGCTTAGCCCGGGGAGGAGGACTGTAGAAGTCGTGGCGAGGAGCAGAGGTTGCACACACATACGTGGGGAGGGAGGATGGAGTGGCTGCCCTGGATTTGGGGTAGGGTAGGCTGCCCTGACGCAGGCATTGTGCAATCCAGGCCCTTCAGTGTGGCTGAGGGGAAGAGAGAGAGGAGGGCTCAGTTTGGTTCTCTTTTTGGGTGCCGTCCCTTGACTGTGGGCAACTTTGGCTTAATGGAGTTGGATCCTTCCGTTCCTGCCCTGATTTGGCCTCCAGAGGCCTCACCTTGGTTCCTGTTCCTCACTCGTGCCTCCTATTTTTGTTCACCACTGCAGCGTTGGCTTGTGACACCGTAGGTGAGCTTGGCAGCCCACTAGAGAGGAATGTGGGATCGGGTGTGTTGGGCGCTGCTGTGGTTCTCTGGTCCAGCTCCATCTTGCGCTGACTCTGCTTTAGGGTAGTTGCCGGGCTGCTGCAGGCCTACTCTCCAGCAGCTTTTTTTTCTACACATGTAACCTATTAAGAATGCCACTTTGCAGCCAGGCATGGGGCAGATGCCTGTAGTCCCAGCATTCTGGGAAGCCAAGGCAGGAGGATTGCTAGTTTGAGCCTCACCTGGGGAATTTAGTGACTTAGACCCTGTCTCAAAAAAAAAAAAAAAAAAAAAGACTGGGGATGTATCATCAGAAAAGGAAAGTAAAATAAAGAATGTTTCTTGGAATCACTGCAACTCATTTTTCTCAATAGGTGAACAACTGTGAGCTTGTTTTTAAATTTGGTTTTTAATTGACACATAATTGCACATACTAATGGAGTACAGGGATATTTTGAAACATACCTGCATTGTATAGTCATTAGGCTGGGCTATTAGCATAGTTATCTACTTCTATATTTATCATTTCTTTGTGGTGATTACATTCAAAATTTTACATTCTGGTAACTCTTTTGCAATACCGAACGCAGTATTGTTAGCCATAGTCACCTGACTGTGTAATAGAACCCCAGGATTACACTTTCTAGTCTAACTGGAACTTTGTAATGGCCAATCTCTCCTAATCCTGTTTCTTCCCTACCCTTTCCAACCTCTGGGAACCCCTGTCCTATCCTCTGTGTCTGTGAGGTCAGCTTCTCCAGATTCCTTGTAAGAGGGAAATTATGCCTGAGCATGTTTTAAAATCTGTTACATTGAAGCTTTTACTGCAGCTGAGTACTGTAAGCAGGTGAGCTGTTGGAAGTCAAAGACTAGGCCCAAGAAAGTGCAGAACAAAGGCTTGTCAGTAAACTGGTAATTTACTGACAATTACTAATTTATTGCCTGCATGTTGATTGCGGGCGATTGATGTCAGGGTTCTCCCTCTATAGAGATGCTGTCTAGTGACTGCCAAGCACTGGCTCAGCCTGCGTTCCCACTTCTTAGATGCTCACATTTCTCAGAGGACAGACCTGTATCTCAGGTTTCCTAGGGCCTGCACTATTAAAGTTCGTATGTGAGGTGGTTTGGAGAGGAGTTGTAGACCTTGTCCATTGTGTGTTCTCTCACCTGAGCCCTCCCAAGTCTGCTGTAGTTGTTTGATGTTCAGTGCCATCCTATAGATAGTGTCCCCACTGAAGCAAATCTTTGAAGAGTCCTGAGGATCAGAGAGGCCTTTTCACTTAAGCCATTTAGAGGAGTTGAGGTTGGTACACAATGTCCGAATGGAATCCTGGCTTAATTCCTTGTTCAGGTGCCTTCTCCAGGGTTGTCGCACTGCAGGGTCTGAGCTTCAAATTCAGTTCTGGGAGTTTGTATGTGTGTGTGTGTGTGTGTGTGTGTGTGTGTGTGTGGTTTTTTGTTTTTTTTTTTTCGGTACCGGGAATCGAACTCATGACCTTGCACTTGCCAGGCAGCACTGTGCCACTGAGCCCCAACCCCTTAATGGTCTTTTTGAGACAAGGTTTCACTATGCAGTTCACTCTGGCCTTGAACTCACTTTGTAGCCCAGGCTGGCCTCGAACACACAGTGATGATCCTCCTGCCTCAGCCCCCCGAGTGCTGGGATTACAGGCATATGCCACCATGCCCAGCCTGGGAGTTTGATTTTTGTAAGTGTGTCCAGATTGGGTTCTGTGGGACTCTTACTGGCCGAATGCACGGGAGACTGATGTTACAAAGTCAGCATGCCAGCTGTTGAGGACAGTGAGTAATAGAACTGTCAAGCAGATTTGCACACAGATGGTTAGGCTAGCCCATCCCTCTGTGAAAAATCTACTGTCAAAGCCAGCCAGCCAAACCTACAATTGAAGCAAGGTGAATTCTGTGTATAATCTTATGTACTGGGCAGTAGTGGGGCTGTATACTTAGGCTGGTCTCCCCCTTAATCACTTCTCCCATGTGCGCCGCTGGCCAGGCCTGCTCCCTGGTGCCTCCTCTCTCCTAGGTGGCGGTAGAGACATGCTGATACATTTTAGGAGCTTCCTCAGAGCACTTCCTTCTGCAGAAGTAGTCATTTGGATAAAATTCACCAGGTTATTCCTGTGACCAGGGTAATAAAATGGATTGATTGTTGTTTTCACTACTTGTAAAAAGAATTTGATTACATTTTCTGATTTATAAGTGTGCAGTTGTGACTTTTCAGCTTAGTGGCCTGGCTGGTTTCTTTTCGATGCTACTTGGCTTTCTTCCATCCTGTGCTGCAGTCTGCTGAGTGGGTGCACTCAGGCACTCTTTGGTGAATAGAACATTCTGCAGTGGTCACAGAGCACTGCTTTTTGTCTGGTGCTGACTTGGGTTGGGTGAGCTCCTTTCACGCTTTGGTTGCCAAATTCTGCACATTGCAGTGTAGCACAGCTGGTATTACTTACCTGGTTATGTTTAACTTTTGCACAGCCGTTTTCACCTTGTCCTTCTAAAAACATCTTTACGTAGTGTTTTCCTCCCTAAAAGCATGATAATAAGAGCCAGCCTTGGATGTGCTTTGCCAGGACAGCTGCTGTGCTAAGGGCTTCATATGGCCCATCTCTGTAGCCCTCCCAGCACCTGTGAGACCCTCTGTTAGATGAGGAAGCCTGAGAAATAGGGCATTTCCATAGCCTGCCTAGGTCACACAGGTACTGCAGGGACTCAGGCCTGTAGGATGTGACACTCCTGCTTTCAACCACGGTACTGCACCTCCAGCCAGTACGTGACTGGAGCAAGGTAGGGTCTCAGCAGAGGGTAAGCGATTTCTTGTAGGGACACAGCTTCCCCCTTCTTCCCGAGGGTGTGTGTATCCTCCTCCTACCCATACTTCCAAGAGCACTTTTACAAATATTTATTAGGTGTGTGGTTTTTATTTTACCTCTGTTCCACTCATTGGAAAAAAATCAGTATTACCATGTCTGTTCTAAGAGCAACATGCAGAAACATCTTCTGAGTCTGTAGTGCACTTGTTACACACCCTTAAGATCCTGCGTCGTCCTGTGGTAGAGTCCTGCTTTGCTGATAAGTGTGCATACTTGTGAGTTACGTTTATCTCGTGATCAACTTGACTTCATCTGGTTCTTAAAACTTTGCGCCGGGGTAAGGACACATTTCATGCTGTGGTGGAGTTGCACACCCAACACCTGGCGGGGGCATGTTCCATGCAGCGTAGCACTTGGCATAGATGTCCTGGTTACTGGGCAGGTGGGATAAGCCTGTGCCCGTGGAAACGGTCACAGAAAGGGGAATGTTGAGCAGACTCTCACAGGATGTTATGTGGGCATTTGCTGGGCAGTAAAGAGGAGGCTCGGCAGAGAGAACAGCATACAAAGACTGGATGACCGGAAAGTACGGTGTCTTTGGATAACAGAAGGGCTAAAAGTTTGTATAAACAGTGCGAAGGAGGAGAAGGGAGGAAGACTAGAAAAGAGGCTTGGCCTTCACTCTGCAGAGAGTAGTAAGCCTGTGAATACTTAATGAAAAGTGAACAGTATGCAAAGGTGACCTGGTATCTGTCTTGGGGAGTTCGCTTTGAGGGAGGGGAGGATGGACTTGCTAAGGGAGAGACCGCTGATGGGCATGGAGCTGTGTCACTGAAAAGATGCGGGCCTGTAGTTTGTTGTGTTTTTTTTTTTTTTTTTTTTTGCGGGCCTGTAGTTGAGGTGACTTTGATGCCTGGGTGAAGGAAGGTGAGTCACGGCAGAGATTTTGTGGTAGTTCTAAAGGGGGTCAGATTCGGTGCCGCTGAGACACAGGAGAGGGGGCAGCCTTGGGAGGGGCAATGAACGACGAGGAGAAATGGGTTTGCCAGGAGTCCAGAGAGTGTGGATTGCCATCCAGAGGGCTGCTAGGGTGGGGAGTAGGGATGGACATTCAGCGGGGTACAGGTTGAGGACTGAGTGGACCCCAGAGATGACCAGGATGAAGGAGCAGGCCGGCCAGAAAGGCCCCCAGAGGGCAAATGAGCAGAGACTTGGGTGGCTGTTGGAGGAGAGCCCCCAGGGCGTGGGGAGTCAGTGGCAGTGTCAGACTGTAGAGAGAAGTCAGGACGGGTGAAAAGAGGCTTTATTGTGTGTTTCATTGTATCATTCGTGAAGTCAAGTAGCTACAAACAGTTAGAAAAAAGTCGAGTTTGTAAATGAAAACTCAGTATAAAAATGTTGGCACTGAGGCCAGCGGGCTGTGAAAGAGCCTTTTGTACCAGTGGGCTTTAGGCCCCCACCCTCCGTGGGAACCGTGGAAATGAGTCAAGTGAGCCGACCCAGCGCTTCCTTTCAGTTCCAAAAGCCTGGCTTCTGCATTGGAGGGGAAGGAGGCATAGCCATTAGTTTTTGGGGTGTTGTTCTGTTACCTACGGTGGTCATAGTCCTAGGGTGTTGGATTTCTGAGAAGGATGTATATCTAGCTTAGGTAATTTGAATATTATAAGCATAGACCCTCTCTCAACTCTGCTGTTGGCAACGGGCTTGCAGTTTGAGTAGACCAGGCATCCCCAGTAAAACAGTTCTGGTTGGGTGGCTGTGAGGCAGATGCTCATAAACTGTAGGAATTCTTACTCCAGGTGGGAGCTGGATAGATTTACCCATTCCGTTCTTGCCACAGATTCTATGGAAGTGAAACCCATCATGACCAGAAAGTTGCGGAGGCGACCAAATGATCCTGTCCCCATCCCAGACAAGAGGAGAAAGCCTGCTCCTGATATCCATTTGTGTCATGCTTTAATCACCTTTTTCCCCTTAAGACAGTGGAGTGCTTTATTACACATCTGGTAGAGCAGTGGCGATGAACCTTTAGAGCTTTCAGTGATGACAAGCAGCCTGCTGCAGCACGTGTGCCATAGGTTTGCCACTGTGATAGAGTACACATGGTAATTGTCCTACACAAGATGGTAATATTTGATGGGAAAATATATGTAAAATATTTATCTGTGGGGCAGAGGTTGGCCATTCGTTACTGGAGTCCTCAATTGTTACTGCTTTTAGTGGGAAAAATTTACAGAAAGTGGTTATTTGGAAAGTACTTTGTGTTGGAAATTAGATAAGCTTCAGAGAAAACTGAAAAGTTGATGTACCTTAATTTCTCCACCGGTAAAACAAGGATAGTAATAGCTGCCTTTGCGCACTTCACATGCTCCATTTCTAACACAGTGAATTGCAAATTGGTATAGCAAGTGAGATTTTATTCCATATAGAAAAACTCTTTAATGAAAAAAATAGACAATGGGAATGGGGCACATGGAGAGAAGTGTCCCTCTTAGGGGATAATAAACAGCTGTTTGTCTTGGATGGTTCAGTTGTTTGTTGACTACAAGAAAAAGATAGAATTTGGTGTCCCTTCAACTTTGTAATTAAGGATTTAAGTTGCCTTGGAAGACTCACCTTACATTGTGTGTGTGTATCAAGTCTTTAGACATTTGTAACAAGGGCACTTTATAAATGCAGGGTGAGATTGTTATCTTACTGGTTTCTGTGCTTTCACTATTATGGCTGCCTACTGAACTTCATTGTAGCAGTTTGTAAGGTGGGGAGCGTGAATTCTTATACCTGGCCACCATGACACTTAATAGGAGATTCAACTTTCTAAGAAGCAAGTTACAAAAAAAAATCATTTAACATAGTCATGCCTTGTCAGTTCTAAAAGACTGGTACCGTTTTGTTGATTTCTGTTTCCTTGGGAACTATATTTTCAGACACATTCCTTTAACTCTTAACACCTCAGCTAAACTATTTGTTAACTGATGAGCAGATTATGGAGGATCTGAGAACATTAAATAAGGTACAGTTTAATTTTTTCTTTTCTTTACTTTTTATTTTATCGGTACATTTTAAATATACATAGCAATAAGATTCATGATAGGGAATTTTCAATTTGATTTTTTAGAAATTTATTTGAAAGCTCAGACTTGACATGGTTTTCTGCTTCACTTTATTCATACATTACTTTGTTAAATCATTGTGATACTTCTGATACCTAAAGTTGCATCTGAAATGATTTTCTCTAAGATTTCTTTGTTGTTCTTTCTACAGCTTAAGTCACCCAAGAGACCAGGTAAGTGCACTATGTTACTGGCATTTGTGCAGTCTTTGTATCCTGTTGTTGCAAAAGCATGTGAATACCTGTCAGAGAATCGTTGAAGTTTTCAAAAGTACAACGTCCATTTGCTTAAGAGTAGTCATCATGGAAGCTGAAAGGAATCCTAAGTATATTACTCCTGTTTTTTTATATTTTTTAAGCCTCACTATGTTATTGTTTCTTCTTCTTAGGATTTATTGTAAAAGAGATACTTGATTGGCTGTTCAAGGTTTCCTTTTGTGCAGGCATAAGGGTCAGATATATATCCGTTTTGAATATTAAACCACAGGAGTTTTGTGTCTTACTCCCTTTCTGGAATTCAGTGCTAGGCGTCACTGTTCCAGTGGCTTTTCATGGCCTGCCTCTGAGTCCTCACCTGCTGCTGAGTTCCAGTTTATAGGAGAGGGGAAGGCCACCTCGGTATTTACGGTGGTTCTTTGCAGAGTAGCACTCGGCAGCCAATGCTAGTTGCAAGCTGAATTCCAAACTGGTAGTGTCTTTTGTTGTCCTGAGCACTGGAAGTTTCACATATCCCTGTACTTACTGAGTTTTGTGGAAGGAAAACAAGCTTGTTCTTTCTCTAGATAATATCGTGTGGGCTGCCATAGTGCACAGAGAAGTCCTGAGCTTCTGAGGCATTACAGGGAGTGAGTGTAAATTTAGATCATGCGAACCTACCTTAGTACTAGAAGTGATTTCATTTTTGAGAGGTTTTCATAGTACTTACCCTTTTGGGCTTCAGGGTATTATTTGTATTCTTAGTGACCTTGTGCATTTGTACCTTCGACTTTAACCTTGCCGACCTTCAGGTTTCTCCTCTGTTTGGTGAAGATTTTTGTTTCTTAATTTTTTTTTTTTGGTACTGGGAATTGAACTCAGGACCTTGTTTGTGCGAGGCAGTCACTGTGTCCCTGAGCTATATCCCCTGCCCTGTTTGGTGGGATTAATCTGTGCCTTGCCTACCTCAGAGGATTGTTTCAAGGTCAAGCTAGAAGTAATGTACAAGAATTTAGTAGTGTGCTGTGCCAATTGGTGTCCCACACTAAGCTTGACACAACATAGCAACCTCACGGGAGCAAGAGACGCAGCCTGCACGTGCTGCTCAGCAGGGGGATCTTGCCTATGAACAGCGCTGCACTCGCCTTCTGGCCTGCAGTTTTGTTAGGTTCCCACGCGTTCCCAGTGTAAGGACTCAGCGGTCACGGTTATGAGCACACAGGGTCTCAGAGCATGTCAGCCAGTGGGCTCAAAAGTCTGTTATCTTCCTCCAGCAACCCCGTCCTCTCCCGAGCACTTGCCTGCCACACCTGCAGAGTCTCCAGCCCAGAGGTTAGAGGCTCGGATAGAAGACGGCAAGCTGTACTATGATAAAAGATGGTAAGTTATGAGAAAAGGTGGGTTGCTTTTAAGAGTCTGAAAAGAACCAATTGGAAGGTGAGGGCGGGGGCTATCTAGACTTATGTCAGAGAATGGCTGCTTAACTTACATTTTAAAATGGGATACGGTACTGTGCATCAGCCGACATTTGATGGATACTTTTATTGGACTTCTGAAAAGTGTTTCCCAGGATGGGTTCTGTGGATGATGCTCCTCCTGCCCTCCCCGCTACTGTCACTGTACTGTATAAGAATTTGCAGGCTGATGTCTTTTGTGGTGCTTCTGCCCAGCAGTGCCAGAGTGTATGTCCTGCACTGCCTCTTAACTCTCCTGTATGCTAAATTTAATAGGTATTCTACAGATAAAAGGATTTTGTGGTCACATCGGTTTAGGGGATGATCCTCTTAATTAAGATAAATGGATTCCCTTCTTATAGCACTCTTTAGGTCTTGTGATATGATAATGTATGCTGTGAATTTCTAAGATGGTATTAGGTGTTTTTTATTTGACATCTCTACCCTTTTCTCTCTCATCATCCAGTTGTGAACATGTTCCAGGAAACTTGCTTGGGGAATTATATCTTAAAACATAACTCGTTTAGATCGAAGACTGCTTGAAATTTTTAGACTGCCGATGTGTTTTTTTATTGAAAAGGAAATGGCAGAACAATAGGAAAAAACCTTAAAAGCTCATACATTTATTCATTCAACAAATGTTTATTGCCTTCTGTATTGGGTGTTCTGCTAGGTATTAAATCACCCTGCATCCTGCCATGTTTTCCCAGGTCTTCCATTCTGACGCAGTGTTTCTTTCCATTAGTCCCACACAGGAAGTAAGTCCCTGCTTACTTCAGGTCACCAGTGGACACATGGTTATGGTCTACCTTTTTACTGGGTTAAATTCAGAATGTTTTTCTCTGGGTTACTGTGAGGTCTCTACCATTTTTAATGGCTGTATAATAACCCTTTGCATCTTAAGACTTTTACTTAGCCAAAGGTTCCAAAATTAAGCAGTTGTTGCCTTCTTAGAGCGTTATGTTAGTGGGTTTCCTTACGAGATTGTACAGTCTTCCCACTGTGTGCAGATGGGGACTGGGTCTGGGACCACACAGACACCCCAGTCTGCAGGTGCTCATGTCCCCTATGTAAAATGGCATTGCATTTACATGTAACCTGATGTAGCTTCAGAGTCCATCAAAAAAGTGTGCACACTTCAGTTTGCTGCACTAATAATGTCTGGAAGCTAGTGGCCTCCACTTTGAGTACTTCTTGTAATTGTAGAGGCCAAAGGTGACTTGTATTAATTTCATGGTGTCGCCACAAATTTAGTATTAAAATATTTACACAAATTTTTCTTTCTCTGACATATACATTGTTTTGACAGACTCTCTCTCTCTTTCTCTCTCTCTGTGTGTGTGTGTGTGTGTGTGTGTGTATTTATTTATTTGAGATAGGGTCTCACTATGTAGTCCATGCTCCCCTTGAACTCACTGTGTTGCCCAGGCTGGCCTCAAAATCATTGTGCTCCTCCTGCCTCAGCTTTCCAAGTGCTGGGATTATGGGTTTGTGCCACCACACTCGGCTTTCTCCTACATATTTTGAATCGCATCTAGTTTACTTAAAATACTGAATACAATGTAGGTAGTTGCTATACTGTATTGTTACAAGAAAAAAATGTTCCTGTTCAGTACAGAAACAGTTTTTTTCCCAAATATTTTTTTCCCACAGTTGGCTAAACCCATACAAATCTAGAGGGCTCACTATTTTTGTCAAAAATGCTTAGAGAAGCTGGGTGTGGTGATGGGCTGGTACACACCTAGCAGGAGGGAGGATCACCATGAGTTTAAGGCCAAGCCTGGACTACAGTGAGTTCAAGATAAGCATGAGCTACCCTGAACTACCCAGTGAGACCCTGTCTCAAAGAACAAAACAAATAAACAAACAAAAACATAAGAGAGAATAGGCATGGTGGCACAGGTCTGTAATCCCAGCACTTGGGAGGCTGAGGCAGGAGGGTTTCCAGGAGTTGGAGTTCAAGGTTAGCCTGGGCTACATAGTGAGACCCTGTCTCAAAAAAAAAAAAAAAAAAAAAAGGCTCAGAGAGTCTTCCCTGAAATAACAATTTCCACAGAGTTAATTATCTAGATGGATGAAAGAGGCTTGCTTTATCCATAAACCTGATCTTAGTGACTTCTGCCTCTCAGATCTGGCTGTTTGGCGTTCTTCAGAAAGGCCAGTTAGTATTTTTCTTAGCATTGCTGCTTATCTGGACATACTGCCACTAGGTGGCAGGCACTAGCTGCTAAACACCATGGGGCAAAATAAGATGAAGAATGTTTCTAATAATGAAAACCAAATAACCTTTAAAGATCAGGCCCACATATAATAACCGTCTTTGAAAATGATGAGCTTTATCACTAACATTTTTACGGATCTCTGAGTCTTCAAACCATGTGATATTTCAAATGATGTTCATTTTGTAATTGCATCGCTTCAGAGCTTCCTCCTCTAGACTTAATCCTTAGACTTTATGACATGTGTCTGGAAAAGAATGCAGTAAAATAAAATTCTTGGTTTTTTTAGAAGATCCGCAATGATGGGTATTTCATAAAGTAAACCAAGTGGTCAGATGTGACGTATCAGAACGCCTAAGCAGTTAGGAGGAATTTTCGCCATCTTTCTCATGTTAGCATAAGACATTTGGAAAGTGACGTCTCTGGAAGCATTTTGCCTTTCCAGTAAATTTGAAGTTGCTTATTCTGTTAAATATATTTTGAGAATGTTGTTTCCGTCTGTATTCTGTGTGATTTTTCTTCACTAGTTTGAGCAATGAGAGCTCATAATGAATTGTGGTTGTCCTCCCTGGTACCGCTGGTGGGTCCCTGGCGCCCTACTTGAAGCTTTCCATGGTGCAGAGCGAGCGTCTCACACCTCTCCTGGCCCTTGACCTGACTGTTCCGTCTCTGTCTGTTCAGAGGCTTGGTTTTTCTTTCTTCTTCAGCAGGCACAGCCTGTGGCTAAGGGGTTAGCCAAATCCCTTTGTGTTTCTTCCCACAGCATGGAATTTTTCCTTATAAAGATTTTTGGTAAAATATGTTTCATTGAGTTTTAAATGACTTAAGCAAAATGCGTGTGACCCAGGCCTCCCGCCTTGGTGTGAACAGTTATCAAGCTACATTTCATTTTGAAAGACAGGCATCTTTCCTTTGCCTTGGTCTTTTACTGCATTTAAGACATTTTATATCATGCTGTAAGTGCTCCTCACATTTTGATTTGGACTAATTACCCCTCTCAGAAAAACACTATGAAAGTAGCTGATATTTTAAAATGACTGATGGTGCTAGTGGACTATGTTTTTCTCTCTCTTCATTTTAAATCTGGGGCTACTAATGCAGATCACAAATGAAGTCACCACTTGCTCAAGTAATGTTAACCCTGTAGCTCTCTGTTGATACAAAGACTCTTAAAGCAATGTTTTCAAGTACAATTGGGACCCTTGAGGTTCTATAGTTATAATGTGGACTCAGTTTTTGGGAAATGGAGTGTTAATATTAGGATCCCCAGCAGGATAGAAAATTCAATTACTTCTCCCCCCACTTGCCCTACTTTTGGAGCTACCTTTTTAAAAAAATTGCTTTCTTCCAAAATAGTATAGTAATTCTAGTTCATTGGGTTTAATAGCGAGGCACAGAGCTTTAAGAGCTTAATTGTAGGGATTCCCAGGTCAGAATTTCCATTAGTAATAAAGTCAATTTGACATTTAGGACTTATTCTCTGAGGCCATTTTAAAAAATAAATTTTTTCAGCAGCTGAGTTGTAGCTTGTAAAATGGATTTAATTGGCAAAGAAAGATGACACAGTTTTACTAAATTGGCTGTATTGATGTTTCTTTTAAACTTACTATTTCTAAATATGTTTTGAGTTCTTTCCCTTCTATTATTCTTTAAAAGTTGAAAAGTAAGGTTATATGTTAAAGTTGTTGTATACTTTTTGGTTTTATGTTCAAAAAAAAAAATACCCACCTGAACACTTTAGTTTCTGAAGACTTACCTTTTTAGAGAATTCAATAAATGTAATAGATTTGACGTCCACAGATCGTGTTTCCCTAAGATCATTATTTGGGACACGAGAATCCCCTGAAGGTCTTGGGAACCTGGGGCCAGGTGGTTTGGAAGTTGTCTGCTTTCGTGCTTGGGGACCGTGGTGGACATTCAGGCCGTACCCCGTGGTGAGAGACCAGAGGTGACAGACAGGGTGGCGGTCTTTACTCCTGATGTTCACTGTGAAACCAGTCAAATGTGTTTTATTAGAAGTACAGGAATATAGTAGACGTAGTTTTCTTGCTCCACTTAGCTCGGTATTAAGCTTGTTTCCATGTAGTAATGTTCATGCCACACCCATGACCTTTCTTTATTAAATTACTTAGAAAGTGGAATCAGAGTGACTTGAGGCCAATTACATTTTATGTTTTTATCTCTTTAATAACTCACAATTTCCGTAGAACAACTGTGAGTGTTCTTTTTCCTTTGCATTTTTATTCTAAACTGTACAAGACGTTACTGTTTACATCATAGAGTTGGCTTACATGTGGGAGGGAAACCAAGGGAAATGTTAAGAATATTGCTGTTAAGGGGCTGGGGACTTAGCTCAGCGGCAAAAGCACCTGCCTGGCAAGTGCAAGGTCGTGAGTTCGGTTCCTGGTACCGGAGAAAAACCAAAAAAAAAAAAAAAAAGAATATTGCTGTTAACTAACGTGGTGTGGCATTATGCATTGTACAGTTTGGGTCTTGTGATGCTACCTGTTCAGCATAAGGAAGGGCCTCTGACCCAGTTTGCCAACTAATACATGATCAAAAGCAACTTTGACACTTGGATCTAAACTAGTCTTACTGTTCTTGTTGGATTTATGATTCATTTTTTTAAAACAATGTTTTCAGGAACTAAATTGACTTGGAAATCTGTGTTCAGCTTCTAAGCAGCAGGTTATTTTTTATTTTTTTTTTGGTTTTGGTTTTTCTCCGGTACCAGGAACCGAACTCACGACCTTGCGCTTGCCAGGCAGGTGCTTTTGCCGCTGAGCTAAATCCCCAGCCCCTGAGCTAAATCCCCAGCCCTTAAGCAGCAGGTTAAAGAGTGCTTAGCACCTAGATTGGAAAAACTCACTGTGGGAGAGAATAATATCCTGGAAGGTGGTATGTGGGCAGTAGATTATTTTATTATGCCACCAAATCAGAATCTGCTTCCTTCCTCCAGAGAAATGAGAAGGTGCAATATTTTGCTGGGAGATGGGTTTTGGTAGACTTTACATAAGTTCATAAGTCTGTGTAGCTAGATTTTTATAGCCAGAGTCAACCAAAGGTTATTTTTTCACCTGGACTGGGGCTGGCTCAGGCCAGGGCTATCAGCAACAGCTTAGCTTACATTCCTCATTCTTGTAAGCCAGCAGCTGCTCTTTCATGCTCTTGTCCCATGTGGGCTTTGGCCTTCCATCCTTGGAAGGATGAACTTCTGTAGATTGGAAGTGATTCTGTACTGCAGGCCAGGAGTGTGGATACAGGGGCTGAAAGAGGAGCATCTGTCTTGTCTCCTCCTTTAAAGCAGCTTTCCCACTTGTCTAGGCCAGATCATGCCGAGTTGGATGCCCTTTGGTACATGCCATGATGTTCAAAGCTTCGCCTAATTAGCATTTGCCAGATGTGATTATGAAATGTTCCCCCTATTCCGTTTGAAGCTCCGTGACAGCAGGGACCTGTGGCCTTGTTCATTCTTTTCCCAGCCTCCATTGTAGCCAGTGGCACATAGTAAGTGCTTGATGATTATTTTTGAATGAAAGAATAAAGGGCTGAATTCAGCCTTCTTTCTCTGGTTCCTTACTTGGACAGAAAATAAGTAAGAGAACAATTGTCCACACCCACCTATCTGTTTTGTCCACACACCTGCCTGCAGTGTTTGGGGGTATGGCCAGAAAGTGGAGACAGATTTTACTGTAAAATTTTTAATTTTAATTTTAATTCAAATTTTTATTTGAACTGGGTCATATAGTTGAAATAAAAGGTAAATCGTAGTTTTCCAGCTCTCTCCTCAGTTGCTGCTTTCCTTTTTTGCAAAGGGACCAAAGAGTGTAAGATCCAGAAGATTAAAACGTCATCTGAGGATGGAAGCTTCAGAGTCTTCTTAAGTCCCAACTCTTGCTCAAGTACAAATGATTAAGACTGCTTTATGTATATATTTTTTCCATTTGTGCCTTGTTTTTGCAGGTACCATAAGAGCCAGGCCATCTATCTGGAGTCAAAGGACAACCAGAAACTGAGCTGCGTGATCAGCTCAGTTGGAGCCAATGAGGTAGGGACTGAATTTCCTCACCCCGAGGAAAGCAAAGTGTGTTCTGTGAAGAGTGGAAGATGTGACAAACCAGAAATGAAAGTGCCATCAAGAAAGTACGGTGGCGTCGTGTCTCATATGTGGGTTAAACTCAGAAGTTAACCCTCCGTGGCATAGTCAGAGTCACCCTTGAAGATCCACCCCATACATCTGTCCATGTCCAGGGTGTGTAGCTGTGTGTATCCCTGGTGGGATTGCTGAGCGCTCTCTGCAGTAATTGATCTGGGAGCCACTGAACTAGAATTTAGGAGAGAGCAGATGGCAAGTCTGTGTGAGTTCTGCACATCTCCTGTCCTTGCTTCAGGGTCTGTACTAAGAGTGGGGCTTGCCCGTGGAGCATACGCCACCTTATTGTGTCATCTCGCTAGAACTTCCATGTGATCTCATAGGTTTGTATCTTGCTGTGAGAATTTAATGAAGTGCCTGGGACAAGGCCCAGCACCCAGTAAGTGCTCATTGAATGAGTGTGCTGTCAGTCGGCATATGACTGTTGGGCTGCGCTCTCTGCCACCTGATACGTCCTGTTGTGCCCGAGCAGCAAGCTGCCAGGTTCATGCGCTTGGGCACTGGTCTCCTGTGAAGAGGGTCTGTTTTTAACAGAGTTATACCCGAACATGATGTGACTACCCTACGAGTTCTTCATTAGGAGGGTGTCCAGAGTGTCTCACTTGGCATTGTTAAAAAAGGTCTAAAACTTTAGTAGCTGGATTGGCTTGATCTTTTATCACTCTGCAAATGTTTGCAAAGAAATTGATTTTTACGTGTCTACCCTCTGTAACTTATTTGTGCCAGTGTACAGTAAATCTAATGAAACTGGATTATGAAATAACTTAAGCCTCTTGTATTCTCCCAGCTTCCTGAATTGAAAATGCCCTGAAATGTGACTAGTTTGCAAAATGATTGTTTACTTAGAAGTTAGGGAGAGCCTTCCAGATAAATGAATGTCACTCTTCTCTGGGCTCAGGATCTGAGTCACCTCAGGCCAAGCTGGAACCAGAAGCAGGGGCTGAAGAGGTGCCTCGCTTTGATGACGGAGCATTTGTACCTGCCCTCGAGGGTTGCTCTGCAAAAGCACATGTGGCTTCCCGGTACCTAAACCCAGCTTCAGAACTGCTGCCTTATACTGCTCTGTGGCACCTCAAGAAAAATAGAAATGCAAGTTCAATTCCTCCTTATGCAGCCCTCCCGTGGAAGTTACTGCTCTCTGTCACGAAAGTGTCTATAAGATGTGATGAGGCCATGGTGCTGCCGCAGCACATCCGGGAGGGAAGAGGCCGGGCTTTGCAGGCACGTGGCTGTGGTGAGGGGAGGGCAGCCCTGCTTTCTTGGACATCTTTTAGCTCATTTTTCAGATAAACTCCTGAGTGCTGCTGGAGCTGCCTGGCCGTGGTGTAACTCAGCCTCAGGCAGGTTTGGTGGGTGGGTCCGAGTGTGTCAGTGACTCCCTGATTCAAGCCTCTTGGGGTCAGTTTTCAGTTGGAAATGGCTCTGCATGTTTCTTTAGAGACTCAGCTTCATGTGAGATCTTTAGCTTGTTTCATTTTTAAACCAGTGCGTTTGATTTTAAAGTCTGTCTGTTGCTGAATAATCACATCAAAGAAATGGAGGTGAAACTGAGAACAAGCTTTTTTAAAACCTGAAAACTGAGTGGGGGAAGGAGGAGACACATCTGTAAACTTAGAGTTGTATAGATGAAGCGCAGACCTTTAAAAAACTCTTGCTTTAGATGCCATTTAATTGCCTGTTACAGAGAGCTAGGTGAGAAGAGTCGGGGGCTGGTTTAGCGGGGAAGAGCACAGGGCTTTGAGGTCAGGTGCCAGGATCAGTCGGGACGAGTGACTCAGCCTTTCTGGGCTTTGGTCTCTTCTGAAATGTGGCCCACGGCAGCACTTCCTCCCCAGGCTTGTTCCGGGCCGAAGCAGCTTAGTATGGTGGGCCAACGTCTGGCGCATGGTGAGAGCGGAAGGGGCCTTGCTCACTTGCTCAGGTGCTTCTTCGTCCTCCCCTGGCTTCAGGGTGCTGCTCACTGAGTGCATTTGCCGGCTCTGGCCGTCCTCTGTGGCAGGAGTTCGAGTAGCTCCACGCCCGGGCCCTGTGACGTGAGCGAGTCTGGTCCCATCTGTGGGAGCGGGAAGTGGTGAGCAGGGAAGACTGTCTTACTCTTCAGCTTCCTTCGGCTCCTTAGCGGCCCCCGCTCCCTCAATGGGCATCTTTTTGTCAGTGTTGCTTTTTCATTTTTCCCTCGCAGCCATTAGCCTTAATTAGCCCAACCAGAAAAAGCAGAGTATTGCAAGGCTAGATGATGTGGAAGTCCCTTGGGGTAAGGAAAGCATTTTAAAATTTGGTAGGAAGTTTGTGTTCATGAATATGTGTCTGTTGCATCTTGCTAAGCCTGTGATCAACTGAATCGAGAGTCTTTATGTCAAAGCCAGACATGGTGGCACACATCTGTAATTCTAGCACTCTGGGAGGCTGAGGCAGGATGATTGCAAATTTGAGCCCAGCCCGGGCAACTTAGTGAGACCCTGTCTTAAAATTTAAAAAGGGGGGGGGGTTGGGGGTTGGGGATGTAGCTCAGTGTGAAGGCCCTGGGTTCAGTCCTCAGTGTGTGTATGTAAGGGGATGGGGAATCCTTGTGACCCAGGGAGAAAGTGGAGCCCAGGATTGCTGTGCTGTCCAGGTTCCTTGGTCAGAGGTGCGGCCCCTGTGGTGGGGAGGAGTGCGGTCAGGGCTGATGGAGGTGCGCCTTCACAGTGGCCGCAGTCAAGGTGTGCTTGTGGTCGGTTTTCTCCCCCGCCTAACTCATATAAATATTGTAAGGCCCTGGGAGATTTGCCCCGGAGTGTTTCTCAGCCTCTCTCTTGCTCCCTCCCCTGTCCCCGCAGATCTGGGTGAGGAAGACCAGCGACAGCACCAAGATGAGGATCTATCTGGGCCAGCTTCAGCGTGGGCTCTTTGTGATCCGCCGGCGGTCAGCGGCTTGACTTTCTACAGTGTCCCTCTTCCCTTGACCCCTTTTCTGGAGTGGTTTTTATTTTTGTTTTGTTTTCTTCTTACTAGAAAATTTTTAACTTACCGGGAATAACTACTTGGCCTTGGAAATGGAGAACCCCGTTGTGGATTCTGCAAGGCACTTTTGTGGCTGGCCACTTCCATCTTTCTGTCATTCTTTCCTGCCTCGACTTCTTCTAGACATCCGTCAACGATGGACTCTTTCAGGAGTATTGGGAGTTTCTTTTATTTTATTTCTTTATTTTTTGCTTACACCTTCTTTTTAAAACCTCCTTTGAGTTTGAAGGAACAAGCCTTTTGAGTAATTATCTTTAGGTCTTTCTCCTGTGAGAAAGAGCAGGAAGGAATATACTCTGGTGCATTTTCATGTTTTGAATCTGATTAGTGGATCACGTAGCTGCTTCCCTTGTCAAGCCCAATTCACTGTTTTCCCAGCAGCTTGGGGCAGAGGTCCCAGCAGAAGGAGATTAATTCTCCTGGCTCTCAGCCTTCTCGGAGAAATAAACGCCTGTGTGTAACATCTGGCACACGCCACCCGTTCCCCTGGCTGAACGGCAGGAGTCTGTGCACTGTAGTATTGAGCTGGGGTTGGGGACATTTCATATTCATAGTATGCTGAAGTTACCATATTTTAAATGTTATTTAATGCAGGTGATTTAGTCAGGCACACTTACCCTAGCTCAGGCTGGAACAAGAAGTGGTAATTGCAGAAGTTTTCATTTGTAACTCCTTTCTCTCCCCAGTTCCCAAGTAGGTAGAAGTAGCACCTGTCACAGGCTGATCATCTGGGTTATCTCTCGGAGGCAGGGCAGGGAGATTGATAGTGCAATAATCAGTGCTCTGTAGACTCACTGCCTAACTCAAGTTCACTCTCGGTGCTGGTACCGTTATCGCACATTGGCCGCTCTGCACCGTGGAACCTGGTCGTCAGGCCCTGGGCACCGAGGCCGCGCAGAGATCTGGCCCTGTTTGAGACTAGGAAACCTGTGCTGTGGCTGCCACCAACCTGCACTCTTCTGATGAGCCCTGATGAAAACTCCCTGCACTCGCTGCTGCTTCCTCTCTGCCCCTTGATTGGAGAAGTGATGTGTTCACGGGTGATAGGGTTTTTGTGTTCTAGCTGCCATCTTGAGGTTTCAAGCATTTGGCACTAGAGTAACCGTTAGCATCTCTCTGGGCGGTCAGTAGAACTTACACGTTGTAGGAAATCTTTGTAAGTAATTCCACTGGTTCGTTGGTCACAGGCCCTTGGAATCTTCATATTCTTCTTCTCTTGATGTCCACACTGCACAGCAGGGTCTGTGATGAGAAATCACCTCCTAAGTTCTGGCTTCCATGGAGACCAAACGGTTCTCAAGAGTAAAGCCTTGTACAGATACATATTTTTTTTAATTTATATCCATTTTCCCCCTTTTTAAAAAAGTCTTATTTAGGAAACAGGATAAATAATGATGTTTATCAAAAGCTCCCTGGGGGTTCTGTTTCTTCCCTACCCTCCACCCCTCATTGTTACCATGTTCACAGTGGTGAACCAAGGCCACAATAAACAGAGGCCTCACCTTTGCTTTGTCCTGGGTTTATGCTTTGAGGGGCAACTTCTCTTGCTTGAATTGTCACTAGTGTGTGTCATATCATATAATTTATCGTCAAGTGCCCTGTGATGGAAATTTATTTAGATACATTCAGTATACATTTGTCATCAAAGGTCTAAGAAACTGAAAGAAAAAACAACCCGATCATCTTCCTTGTCTTCCTCGATAGTATGCCAAAGTGTGTTATCATTGGAAAGGGTTGTGTTGATAGCCACTGGAAGCTCTGCATTGAATCAGCAACAAGTGGCCTTTTTTCTTCCTTCTCTGGCATCACTTTCATGCCTTTGTGACATAACTATTTATTTGAAGACCAGGGTACAGGCATCTTTCCGTTTTCTCTCTGTCATGTTTGAGGATGTTTGAGACCTTGTTTAGACTTAGTCTTGAGCCTACCACTGCCTTCCCCTCAGCATCTTCACAACCTTTAATCATGACCTTGCCACAGTGGGGGAAATGTGAGGAGACCCAAGAGACAGCATAGTAAGTTGTAGTCCTAATACTAGATTTAGTTTTTGTTTAGTCACCCTAGAGGTGAACAAGTGGTAGTGGAACCATTCTGATAGGCCTCAGTGGTGACCAGGGGCAGAAGTCCCCTATTAATGAATGGAGCTCCTTCTGTAATGGACAGATACTTAACTAGAGGGGGAAGCAGATGCTTGAGATTTGTGGAATAAGAGGAGCTGGGTTTCAACCTCAGTGGCATTCTTACTTTACAAGATCTTTGTCTCACGGTAGACCCCAGCATACATGTTCAGCTGTGTCCTGCAACTGACCCTTTGAAAAGGTTTGGTTGAGAGAGTTTTGACCAAGAACTTATGTGTGTGGTTTGTTAGAGACATCTGCCACAAGTGTTGTATCCAGTGTTTGCTCGAGGTGCGTCCCAGTATTTATTTTACCTCCATATGGGGGTATTTGTGCCCTTCCCCTCTGTCTCCCTTTCTCCCCAAGCTGATGTCCTTTCTAGGTAGATTTCTGTAGCCATACCAAAGCCTAAGTGTTTCCATTCATTTGGATTTCAGTATTTGTGGAGTCTTAACTACCTAACCTAGTGTTTACTTTAAACTTCTAACTAGGACAAGTTTAAGATCCCAGAAGCTGATCTGTAAATCAAGCTACACATATTTGTATATGAGACCCTGTGTTCAGGACTGGGAGGCTTTTCTAAGACAAATAGGGAGTGGGGTGGGGTTGATTGCATTTTATAACCTAAATCTGGGTGGGCGGGATTCTATTTTTTACAGTAATTTTTTGTTTTGTTTTTCTTGTAACATTTCCTTTCAGTCTTGAATTTTTACTAAATAATTTCCTCCTTATTTAAATATTTTGTTTCTCACCTGGAAATTTGGAATCTTGGTACTTATATCAATTTTTTTCAGAGAGCACAACATTTTAATACCCGAACATGGTAAATCTGCAGCCATTTCCGGCAATGGGTGGGCTTTTTATATAACATCATTAGTTGGTACCATTAAATATTCTGAGAAGTGAATGTAAAAATGTAAAAAGATAGTTTTTTTTTAAAATAATAAACTTGAAGAAAGAAAACCAACTTGTAGCCTGTCATTATATCCATTGACTTCATGGTGATAGAAGTGTAGTTTCATTTTTCCGTCTACTGATAGCAAGTAAGAAAGTTGGGAGGAAGGGAGAGAGACCCCAGACACTCTCACCATCAGGGAAGAGTGAGGTGGAAGATGATGTCTGAAAGGCTAATACTCAGTTGTGTGAAGAGCAGTCTAGGGGTGTTTATCTGAACTGTGGTGTACTCTTTCTTTGTTGGAGGTGATCCTCGTACTTGAGGATATTGTGATTGAGATCTTTATTGTGGTTCTCGAGACCAGTGCCTACCCGTCATACCCAGGGTTGGTGTTTCTGCTGCTCCCTGCAGTCAACCCACAAGGCTGTCCTTGCTGCCACATGTGACTGACCCACTGTGTTCAGGATGTTGGTACACACACTGGGAGGAATGCTTTCTGCATTAGGTAATGTGGAGAGACTTCCTGCTTTTTATATATTACTGTAACAACATTTATGCTGAAAAACACACAGACCTAATTTAGCATTCATTGAAATGTGAGTGCTTCATGAGTGAATGTATCCATGTTGCTAGCAGCCACATCAAAAAGTGACATTACCAGGACCCCTAGGCTTCCTTGCAGTTGTTTTTCCTGGCTAGTTTCTTGTTTCAGTTACCTCAACCTCCAAGCTCTTTGGCTTCTGTAATTGCTGTAGTTCGGGAGTAGAATATCCCCCAGAGCCTCATGTGTTAGAGGCTTGGTCTTGTTGGGAAGTGGTTGGAAGTGGTCACTGTGGGCGTGTCTTTGAAGGAGATTGTGGGATACTGGTTGCTCACTCTCTTTGCTTCTTGGTTGCCACAAGGTGAGCAGCTTGCTCCGTCCTAACTCCTGCTGTGACCTACCGCCTTACCACAGGCCCAAGAGGAGCTGACCATGGGCTGAAACTACTAATGCTGTGAGCCCAAATGAACCTTTCCTCCTTTGAAGTTAATTGTCTCAGATATCTTGGTACAGTATTGGAAAACTGACTAACACAGGGTCCTTCCAAAATTTTAGTAGAGCTGGGCACCTCGTGTCCCCAGGGACTGACCAGGGCTGTGAGAGCTGGCAGCAAAGGACATGGTTAAATGGAGAGAAGGAAAGACTCCGGTCAATCCTCTCAGCCTCCTGTTTTACCAAGACAATTGAGGCTTCCCTTCTGTTGTACTCAGGGTTTGCAAGGGAAAGGATTTAATACAGGACACATAATTTATAGGATCGTTTTACAGTATTCACCCAAAGAGTCAGATGCAAAAGAATGCAGGAGATCTGTCCACACACAGGAGATGCAAAGAATCAAGGACGTGGATCCCAAAGGCAATGACCTAAAGACTTAGAGCCTATGGCAGTGTCCTCCATGACTCCAACTAGGAGCTTAGGGCCCACAACAATGTCTCATGCAAGTCTGAATCAAAGATATGCACTGGGAAGGCCTAAAGGTAGAAAGTCTGTACTAGCGGGATGAAGGATCTGTGCCAGCAGGCTGAGGGATCTACTGGAGCCTAGAAGTGACATTCAAGGATCAGAGCTTTCCCAAAAAATAACCGTAGGCATCAGCAACAGTGAGGCGCTGAGCTTCTTGGATGATGAGAACAGCGGAGTTCATAGCAGGAAAGCAAGCGTGACGGGCTTGTCCAGGAGAATCAGTAGCACACCATCTTCCCCTCCAGAGCCAGGAAGTGATGCGCAGAGTAAGGACCAGAGCTCCCCTCAAGTGAACCACAGCCATCCTTGATGTCGAGGTCCCGAGCTCCTCTGATAATAACAGCCGAGTTCATGCCAGGAAAGCCAGTGCAACAGGCTTCTCCAAGAGAATCAACAGCACGTCACCTTTCCCTTCAGTCCTCCTTTTATGCTGTGGGCAGTAATTCTCAGGTGGGCCTTCCACACCCAGCACCATGAGTTGACCATTAGTTCATCCATCCACCACACCTTCATGTATGGTGCTCTGTATATACTGGGCACTGTAATGAGCTCTTCATTTTCCCATTTAAACTTAGAGTAGGTGCTGGGGATTTAGCTCAGTGGCACAGCGCCTGCCTGGCAAGCTCAAGGTCGTGAGTTCGATTCCTGGTACTGGAAGAAAAACAAAACAAAACAAAATCAGTGAATGAGTACTATTGCTCCCAAACTGAAGGTTGGTGTGTTAATACAATTAAGCCAAGCTTTGACTGAAATCCAGAGCTCTGCACTGTGCCTAATGTAATTTTTTTTTTTTGTACTGGGAATCGAACTCAGGACCTTGGATTTGCCAGGCAGGTGCTGTGCCATTGAGCTATATCACTGGCCCTTTACTGTGTCTAATATACAGTAAATTTTCTGTAACTGTTGTCAAATAACAAGGTAAAGTGAGGTGCAAAGGCAAGCTGGAAGCACTAGCTTATGACCAGGTGCTGTGCCCTTTGCTTGCATTCTCTCTTCTCAGCCTCCAAGCAGCCCGAGAACAGACTTACTATCCCTAGTGTTCAGAGATGTTGAAGACTAACTCGCTTAGTCCTAGGAGGAAGTTCAGTGACTTCTTCAAGGTCACACAGTAAGTGCCAGAGCCTGGAACGTTCAGATTCCAAATCAGCTTTCCTGTAACCACCATGTTTTGTAGTCCTTTTCCCCTCCCCTCTGTTGAAATACTCAAGTTGGCTCGTACCATGGTGGTGCATACCTACTGTACTCTGAGCTACTCATTGTGCTGAAGTAGGAGAATAACTTGAGCCCAAGAGTTTGGAGAGCAGCCTGGGTGACTCATTTCATCCAAAGATTAATAAAACTCAACATTTCCGTGTGTGTGTGCATGTGTTGCTGGGGAGTGAATCCATGACCTGGCGCATATTAGTCAAGTGGTCTTATCACCGAGATCTGGTTTGGTTTTATTTCAAAACCTGCTTTTACATTTTATGCACAGCCAGGTGTGATGGTGCATGCCTGTAATCCCAGCACTTGGGAGGCTGAGGCAGAAGGATCATTGTGAGTTCAAGGCCAGCCTGGGCTACAAAGTGAGCTCAAGACCCACCTGAACTGCATAGCAAGACCCTGTCTCAAAAAGAAAAACAACAAAAAATATACATTTTATGCACATACTCATGGAGCCAATTCTAGGGGTAAAAACAGTATTTTTTGAGGATGCTTTCCCCTGCTGGACAGCTCTAGATTTCTCCCTTGCCAGTAATAGGATCAGTTACCAGCCAAGAGGTTGCTTTTCTTATGCTTCCTGCATTCAGTATAATGGTTTAAAAAGGAAGGAGCCCTTTGGAATTCCAGCAGTTACTGGTCTTCATGGGACCCATGTTATATACTAGTCAACATGAGAGCCTTTAGGGGACATATATCCAGATTCTTCCAAATCACTTCTTTTCTGCCTGCTTTTCTTACCTGTCTGTGGAGAAAGGAAGAGGGTGGGAGTCACTGAACTAGTTTCTAGAACTGTAGGTGGACAACTGGAATCCTATATCTTGATGCCATCTGATGTTGGGACCTTTTCACATCCTGTCCTACAGAGGCACTGAAATGGAAGAATACACTACTTCCATGTTACCTGCTTCAGAATGCATGCTCAGCTCTAGTCAGTGACCTGGCTAACAGCCAAACTCAGAGTGTGCAGGCAAGAACAAAACCCATTTCTGGCGTCTGTCTCTCCAAGACGTTTTCTTGGTAAGGCCAGGCACCTCTCCTGCTTTTGTACAGAAGGCACTAGATAGAATGAACTAGAAATGTGGACACCTTGTCACTGTCTGGACATTTTATCATGGTGAAGAATACCTTAGCTTTAGGAACTTAGGTGTTTACCTGAATGGATATTTTTCCAAATAACTGGTTATTAAGACAAAAAGATAAGCATTTTTAGGAGGTTCACTAGGAGGGAGAGGTAGATAAGATACAGCATAGGTACCTAGATGCTTAATCCCTTTACCCATTTTCTCTAAGCTGTGTTTGCTCGATTACCTGAAAGATACAGATCTATAAAATAACAAAATTCACTTTACTGATATGGGAAGACCAATAGCTGGAATCTTGAGTCTCCTCCATTCCTCAGAAGCTGGAGACTCAGCAGTGTGTGTGTGTTTTTTTCCCCTTTCTGTGGGGTGGTGCTCAGATGAGTTGATATCACCTCTCTAAATGCTAATGAGGTACACAGCCAAGGGGTTAATGTAGGCATATTCCAGAGCTAGTGCAAAGCAGTGTCCCAGCTTAGCAAATGCTTGCAGATAATAAAAATATCACTATACTAACTTTCTCATTGCTGAATGTAACACCCATCACCCAGAATTTAAAGGGGGAGGGGTTTAGCTGGCTCAGGGTTTCAGGGGGTTCAGTCCATGGTCAATAGGCTGCAGGGTAACATAAGGTGAAAGGGTGTGGTGGAGCAGAGCTACTCATTTCATGGTGCCCGGGAAGCAGAGCAGTGGAGCAGTGCTAGAGAAGAATGGGCAAGGGACCATACATAGTCCCCAAGGTCATGCCTCCATGACCCACCCAGAGACACCCAGGAATGTGCTTTGCTAATGTCCTGGGTGTTTCTTAATCCAGAGAAGTTAGTAAGTCAAGATTAATGATTACAATCACCTTTATCATTCAGGTCTTCTAGCAAATATCTGTTTATTGCAATGCAGTGTGGCACTGTGTTTAAGAGGAAAGGCTTGGGAACCAGGATTTGAATCTGGATTCCTGGCTTCACTGTCTTGACCTTAATTTCTCTGAGTCTTGGTTTTCTCATTTGTCAGTAGCTACCTCGGAAATGTTGAGGACTCACAATATTAACAGATACAGCACTTGCTATGTGCTAGTATTTTATACATGTTAACTCACTGAATCCTTGTAACAACTCTAGGAGGTAGATACTATTATAATCCTTGGGTTGTACTTTAAGAAACAGATTTAATAACTTGTCCAAGGTTGCACAGTTAGTAAATAGCAAGCCAGGATGGTAAGCCCAGTGCCGCAGCTTTCAATACCTGTGCTCAGGGTTGAACCTGTGGCTGCCGAGTCTGTGGAGAC